AAAAAAAAAAAAAAAAAAAAAAAAAAAAAAAAAAAAAAAAAAAAAAAAAAAAAAAAAAACCATCCAAGGTAAACGTCCAAGCCATCAGGAGGAACATTTGCGATTGCAGCACCCTTCGATTGGCCCGCAAAAGTATGTATATCCCACTGAGCAGCAGAACGAGAGTCATTCAAAGAGGAATATTTTTTTTTTTTAAAAAAAAAAATAAAAAAATAAATAAAAAATAAAAATATAAGTCTGGGAAAAATGAGTCCAGAAATGTATCCAGGTTCAACGCCGTTGCGGAAATGCGTGAGTAAATAGAAGAACCGCAGAGGACTATAAAGGACGCCAACTCCGCTTAAATGCACGTGTCGAATGGGAAGGAGAATAGTAAGCTCAGACATCCATCATCTCGGCGTCTTCGACGAGGATCTCATCTGCAGGACCCCAGTTGCCTTCATAGATTGTGGCTCCGGCCCGACGACGATGTTCAGCAAATTGGACACCATACGTCTGCAATACCTGGTCGGCTGTGGGACGCTGGAACGGATCGGGCGAGATCATCCACCCGACAATCTTATCCAATGCCTGTTCATGGTCTGCGTCAACCATGAACTCAGGAGGGTTCACCAAATCCCCACTACGAGGCATAGGGACAGGCTTGGGTTTGCGACCTCCCATGAAGCTACCCACTCCAAAGTCGTCATCACCACAGTCAGAGGCACAAAGGTCTTCGAAGGAAGGTTCCTCCGAAACTGGGTTGCCAGACGCGTCTCGGCAAACGTAGGAGTCCGAGCTGAAACTCAAGCTGGGGACATCGCTCATGTCGCCGTTCCGGAGTTTCTGCCATGAAACGCCGTTGTCAGGAAGCTCAACGTTCCCGGCGATTTCAAAGATTATCAGGCCGAGGGAGAAGATGTCGGCCGGCTTGTCGAACTGGCCCATCAGAATTTCCGGGCCAATATATTCGCGATCACCTTCACCCTCGATACCTTCTTCAGCTGGCCATCTGGTTGCCATGCCAAAGTCGGCAATTTTCAACACACCCTCAAAGGATACCAAGATATTGGCCGGTTTGAGATCGAGATGAATATAACCCATGTCATGGATATGTTTAACGCCCTGTCGGTGGGTTAGTATTTCATTGCATGCCGATGGAAAACGAGGTGAGATCTTACTGAAGCCAGTTCCAACAGAATCTTCCAGATGCGGAAATCATCCAATCGGGCTTTGAGTCCGACCTCGGCCAGGAATATATCGAGACTGCCTTCCTCGCAGAACTCGGTCTGGATGTACAGATGGCCGCTAGCTTCCCAACTGTCGACGAAAGAAATGACATGGTCCGAGTTGGTGAGCGTTTTCAGGGCGTCCACTTCCCGAATACGGCGCTCACGGTCCCTCAATCCTGAGTATGGTTGTTTGGCCTTCTTGACAGCCCATACTCGGTTGGGCAACGAATCTGGGGACTTTGGTCCGGTTGGCGGGAGGGAGAAGATAGAGGGCTCGCCATGTGGTTGAGTGACCCGGAAGACCTGCGAGAATTCACCGGTGCCGATGAGTTCCACATTTTGGAAACGAGACATCAAGGCTGGATCGACGTCGGGGGCGTTGAATCCAGTCAGCTGGAGACTTGAGCGTTTCCCGGCCAGCAGGAAAGAATCACGAGGTCCAGTGGGAGTTGCAGGGAGATTGGAGGCGTTGAAATCTGACCCAATGGAGTGTGGCTCATTCTGCGCAGTGATGGACAAGCCACTAGGGTCGGGAGGGAAGATGTGGTCCTGTGGCGTCCGCGGTGATCCACGCAGAATCTTCTCACTCACAGGACTCGCTCTGCTTTCCGACAACCTCTCCAACGACGCAATCTGGGAGGCCGCCGGCGGATACGTTCGCGATGGGAAGAATGACTGTTTGGTGGGTGTGGGAGGCAGTTCCAATTCACTCAGAGGCTGGCTGTCGAACCGGGCCGAGGGCGATTGGGCCTGTGCGTCGTCGCCGTCGACACTCACAAAGCTACTGCGACGCGAAAGGTCAGGCTTGTTGAAACTGTTGCCGAAAATTCCCATGCCACGGGCAAAAGGGCCCGGCTTCGGGCGGCTGGTGGTAGGAGGGTTAAACGGAGATGGAGGCACTGCCTCGGATGGTTTTGGGGCAGTGGGGAACAGGTTGATGGGCCGCTTGCATGGCGTGTCTGGCATGTTCTTGCTAGATCGCAGCGAGTGCTGGAGGTCTTCGGCATTCCGATTCTTCTTGGAAATCAGACCCGTCGACATGAACGCCGCCGGCAGCGGCTTAACAAGCTTATAGTTCTCAGGAGTGGCAAACGACTCCGAGGACATATTCGAATCCTCTCGGTTTAACCGGCGGACTGGCGCAGGGCGCGTAGCTGCTCCCGCAGGGAGAGACTTGGAGAAGTCGATGCCTCGCGGCCGCTCACTCTTGTGAGCGGGTTCATGGGTTGGCGAGTCATCGACAAGGCTCGAACTGGATGACGATTGGGTGATGGTCCGCGATAAAGGATGAGGGCCCTGGCGAGACGCCGCGTTATTCAAAGATGTCGCAAACAGCGAGCTGCTCGATTCCGGTTTTGGCGAGAAAAGGCTTTCCTTGCTGGGTTGGAACAGATTTGGATCCAGGCGTGGACGAGATGGTGCAGCAGGCGTGCCAAAGAGAGAAGGGCGATCATTCTGGCGCTGTTGCAACGTTGACCGTCGCAGGGAACACGACCGCTTTGGGACAGTTGCGAAAGGGCTGAAAGGCGAAACCGGGGCTGGCGGCGGCGGCATGTCATCTTCAGATTCAGTATCAAGTGGTTCGTCACCCATCATGATGGCATCATCGTTATCGTTGTCGTTGTCAAAGATACTGAACTCGCCAGACAAGTTGGGTGTGTAGACGCTGCGCCGCTTTGCGGACGGACTGCCACGGGAAGCCTGATCCAAGTTCATGGTACCATCACTGCGTTTCAGAGGGCTAACCGCTGCGTACGAAAACGTCCCGCTCCGGCGCTTCTCAATGCGGGATAGGGTTGGCCGTGGGCCCAGCGCATTCTCTGCAAAGGCCGAAGCGTTGTGCTGACAGACATCCTCTGCTGGTTGGTCGGGAGTAGTCTCGATGTCAATTTCGGGAGTCGTAGGTGAATTCTCCTCCCCAGAGGGCGCCAGAACTGGCTGCAGAGGCTTTGCGTTGCCCTGATCGGTCGAAACGTTCAAGACACGCTTCACCGGGCTGCGGGGGGAGGTTCGTGTCCGCCGCATGGCCGGCCGGGTGATTTTGGCGCTTGGTGGATAAGGCACGGCAAAGGGAGACTGCTGGGATGTGCTCGGGAGCAGTACAAAGTTGCCCTGGCCGGACCGACGCGACGGCGACAGTGGAGACGAGACGTATGGCGTGGTGGATTTGGATGGTGAGTGGTTGCGCGAGGTGAGCAGGGAGAAATTCGAGCCCTTGGAGGGTGACCGGGACAATGAACGGCGGAGTTGCCGGATGGCCGAACTAGCATCAACATGGTGAATGCCCGAGTGCGAGGGCAGATGGAGCGTGCCACCCGCATCCCGGTGCGGCGAAAATGTTGCAACCATGATGAGTGAGAATGTATGAGTCACGACAGGAATGATAGTAGGAAGATCTCTTCCAAGAGGTGTCAACGGAGATCTTTTTTAAAGGCGATGGTGTGACTCTTCGGAGAGAATCAAATGACCGATGTCAAAGACGATCCCTCCGTAGGGTAACAAGACGACAATGGGATGTTGACTGTATACAACAAGACCCAAAACAGAGCGACAGTGGAGAACCGAGCACAAACAGTCCAGTGGCAGTGCTAGCGCAATTTCTCCTGCCCAAGGACCAGAGCTGTGGAATGCGGAGCCGGTTAGGCCGCAAAGGTACGTATCGTCCACTGGGAGACGCCGGAAATTTGGTAACAATGTGGATCAGGGTAAATGACGAAGGAGGGCGATGATCGATTGGCATCAATCTAGAACATGGCGAGGCCGGAGGAATTCGATGACGCCAAAAGGCTCGATGCGCTTAGGGAATATTTTCCTCCTATGCGCTTAGGCCACACAAAACGCGCGCGCGCGACACGCGGGGCAAACACGACACGATTATAATGTATGCGCGCGCTGAAACGCCAGGAAATTGTTTGCAGCGGGGAGACGGTAGGCGCAACCTGCGATGCGGGAATGTTTCGAAGTGACAACCGCGATGCGCCTTCTATTCTTTTTCTTCGCGAAATGCGCGGAATCGGCAGGAACGAAGCGAGGAAGGCGATAGTGCTTCTTCTCTTAGTCGGTGTAAGAGACAGAGACACACAAAAGAGGCTGTTGACAGACGACGAACAGAAAGGGCGGCAAGCGAAACGCAGCGAAGAGGGAGCGGTTATCTATCCCTTCCGTTGAGGAAGGAGGGGAGGACAGACTGCGCGCGCAAGGGGTATGATGTCGACAGACAAGGCGCCCCTCCAAAAAAAAAGAGAAAAAAAAAAAGAAAAGAAATTTTTTTTTAACTGGACAGCCACGCGAGAAATGTATGTATGTCGATTATTAGCGACCAAAGCGAGAGGAGGGTGTGAGTTGTCGCGAAAAGGGAGGGGCGAGTGGGAAAAGTATCGAATTGGGAAATTGCGGTATAGGCGACACGAAAGAGGCGAAAGAGGACCAAGAGAAAGGAAGAAAGAATGTTTTAAGTTCCGAAAAAGGATCGCAACCAGTGATAATAAGGTACGATGGAAGTTGATTCTTGAATCCGGATAAAGAGCTTTGAGAACGGAAAGAGGTTTTTGAGGATGAAAGAGAGTAACCGTAGTTCTGGCCGAGTATAATTTTTTGGGGGGGGGACTCGAAAGCGCCAACGCGCCGCGCGTGGATGTTGTGTTGACGCATGCCCGATTTGGCTTAGTCCCGGGTACGGAAACGCGTGACATGGCGTCATGATACACGGTCACGTTATTGTTTATACTATTGTTACGCTTTGTTACGCTGTTCTACTACCCCTATAGTAGTAATAGTCATATTCACTTATTCTTCATGAACCACTTATTCTGATGGAAAATATTATTGTATCGTTGATACTACATGATGCAACCATCGTAGCGGAGATTAAAATAGATACTACGGAGTACTACTGTGTACTACTCCAGATCCACGACGGGTGCATATCGATATCGATAGCCATCAGAGTATGGGGTGATAATGGTATCAATAACCCAATCCAGAACCCTTGCTTCGTACCTCTGCTCCTCGCGTGCAATCTCTTGCCCTGCGAAAGGCACTGTCCCTATCTAAATGCTGGGAATATAAATTCCTTGTCTTCGGATGAAGTTCAAAAGAAAAAGATTTGAGATGAATAGGTGCTGACTTACGATACCTAACTGTACGGCTACTCGCGCCCCGCCAATCCACGTGCCCTACTGATCGCGACGTGTCCAACTTGGGGGGATCGGATACTAAGCAACGTTGACAAGATGATTGCATTCGATCTGTCCTGATCGGATCCGGTCGTGATATGATCTGTATACCCATTGCTCGGGAGACCAGTTACCATGGTTCATCCTCAGGCACCCTATTCAGACTTTCCGGGATTCAACAAAGCCATTCGGTCCGCAAAGTTTCCAAAAACGCTAATGCGAACAACATACAGCTACATTGCATGCGTTGCGCCCCCGTGCTTCATCTTCAAACAAATAATTGGAATTATTCCCTTGCAGAGAACGAGGCGTCGTTAGTCAGCATGCATAAAGTTTGCGATTTTATGTGCGCAACAAGTATGGAGATAATGGTAGTGGACGATGCCCAAGTTTCAACCTGAACCCCCTTACGCCACAGCGCCATCCCTCTTGTCTGTCAATTATTCCGTGCAAAACTGGTATATATTGTCTTCACCGCACCAGTTGTCCACGGCAACCTGCCCTACACCTGACTTTGCGCTCGATTTAAACTTGGATCCAGGCAATTTGGGACTAATCTATCGTTTCGGATCGTCCGACTACGAGGCAAAATCTCATTAATCGCTCGTCCCTAACCTCTATTCAATGCAGATGCCACACGGGATGGGATTCTATGCGCTCAGAAATTCAATTGCTTTGAGAATGACGACATGAGTGTTATCGACTTTGAAGCCGATAACAAGTGGGCCTAATTGCAATATTTCTTGCTGGAACTTCTTTCATTGGTTTCATTCCACTGCTACTAGAGCCGGCTTTATCTCGAACGCGCAACTTTAGTGCATCGCCTCCATTGGAGTCTGAAGGATTAACAAATACCAGCAGCAGAGAACCATGGAAACAAGTGCATAGCCGAAACAGTGGCCCATTATCCAATTCCGTGGAGAGACATTGACATGTCCGGATCGGTCAACATCCTTCAATTTGTCTTACGCTCCCTGGACCAGGCAATTGACTTGCTAACGACAGTTCATGTCCCATGACAGCTGTGCAACGAACATGGGCATGACTGCCATAGTAGCATTGGCACTCTTACCCCGTTGCTCTCATCTCAGACCCGGTGGTAATGGTAGCAGTTAGTGGCGTCGTAGAGCATATGTTGGATCCGGGACATTGAAGTGCATTGGTCCGTGACTGTCTGACATGCATGAATGCATAGCGGTCGGACTTCCATGACTTCTCGGGTCTTTCTGTCATTGACGGTCTGCATGTCAGTCAAGCATATAGCAAGTATGTGGTCGTAGCTACTATGCACTCCGTATGAGTTAGAATATCACATAATAGATTCTTTCCGGCTTTCATTTCCGATATATGAGCTACGTAATCGGAGGAATATATCTGCATTCTTGTGAGGAAATGGAATGCTTCTGATGTCAAACAAGATCAATCACGTGTACTGCATCAATCCCAGTAATTCGTGACATTATCCATGTCAATTTTATGACCTGTCTAGTGTATGTATATCAAGATAAAGACGTGCTTTGTGGGAGCAGTGGTTTTGCGAGGCAAGTCAAGTCAGAAAGCTGTTCATATATATAGAAGCTACATTAGTGATGGAATGCAGGACAAAGTGATGCGCGGATATATATCTTGACCACTTTGTATACACATTGTCAACACCTCCGAATAAACCGAAGATTCCACCGCACTTGAAAAGAAATAAAGGCTCAGTAATGAGTGCAATGGAAAAGAAGCACATGTAAAGTCAGACGAGAGCATTAACATCTCTATGGCCTATATAGTAGCGACTCGAAGTAGGTAATGTACCATCCAATTGAATGGCCCATAACATGCCAAGTTCACCTGCATGTATACAGCATACAATGCAGACTACATACAAAATGTGCAACATGCTCACGTGCCATGCTAAAAAGCATAAAATACGATGATGAATCACTGGGAATAAACAGATCATGTGCTGTATCGGGTGGATGGATGGGAATAGCAATGATAAAGTTGCGATTCGTAATTACGCCTCCTTGAGTGGGGGAATAAGCGGTATACTCTTTTTTCGCGCCCTATGCTGTCTCAAATAGACTTCTTCTGGTGGCGAGTCATTATAAACACCCGACGATTGGGGTGGGGAGGGGGGCGCGTGGGGGAGTAGAAGCCCGATGGGATCTTCCATACGTGTACAGGGAGTATAGAATTTTTCCAGAGTTGGCGATCGCGTTTCTGTTCGATGTTTTCTTTTTTCTATGTAAAAGAAATATCTTGTACGGGGAGGACATTTCGTGGCATCCATGTCGCGGCATTGCATTCGCGTTATTCCCAGGTCAAAAATGCTTCCGTTATGCATTCAGCGGTAGTAAGATAATATGTCTATAGTTAACACTGGTATACCATTGATAATCAGGGCTTAATTGAGGCGTGTTTAATCCCTCGTATTCATCGTCATGAATGCACCTTCCTGTTTAGGCTCTTTCCGTATTAGTGCAGCTTAGATTCTATAGGTGCAACCTCGCGCAGCTTTCTCTCTCAATCAACCATCTCTTTGATTTTTAGTCTTTGCCTCCAAAATCTAATCCTTCAGGCCTACAACCCAAGATGATCTCCAGCTGCACACTCTGAAATGAGGGAGAAGTCATCCACATCTTGCAAGATATGGTGTGGAATCGTTCCCCATAATGTCTCTTCTTTCTAGCGTGTGCTCTCTACCTCTACTTTGAGCTAGCAATGCATTGATAGGACGCGAGAAGAAGCGAAAGTTTGTCCGATGCACAAAAATTATGGACCGGGCCGGCCGGGCCATGAGCGTTATTGGGGCATCACGGCAGAACGGTAGATATTTCAAAATGGAACTGACGGAGCGGCGCCCATTCCAGATACAAATTTTATGATGCCAGACTTCTCAATTCCTCAGAAGATCGTTGATGGACGAATTGTAGTGTCTGCTGTTGGACGTCCCACACATGGGCCGTTCGATGAGATGCAGACAGTCCAAAACCCTTCAGAGATAATGGAACTGTTCGATTGGCTAGCAACCAGCACCATACCATTTGTTGGAGTTGGTACTTTTCAACTGAAATTGGAATGGAGTGCTCACTCGCAACACTCTCTGTCGCCTTTTAACAAGGCCATCTTCAGAAAAATGCCAGCTTTCTCAGGAAATGCACAGCTTACTCGATATGTTTGCCGATTCCAATGATAATTTGAAAGAATTAGAGAGTCTGGCGGCCATGCTGCATCTTTCAATATCGTCCTGCACATGCAACTCTCCATAAGCCGCAATTATGGAGTGTTTTTTCGCGGAACCTCGAAGAACGCTATAGACGGGCAATGAACAGAATGAAGCATAGAGCTGAAGAGGAGTTGGCAGAGTGCAGAGATCAGATCTCTCGTTTGAAGCTTACCTGGCAAGTTCACGATTACGTGGGTGATAAATTCCCAAAGATAACTTTCAAATTGGAAGCATTTCGGCATTGGAGCTCTCAGAGCCGTGGGCCATGACAATGAAGCCGAACTCGAGGAGGTACGCTTCATGTCTAACATCATCTGTCGAGTCTATATAGACAATGTCTTCCCAGACTACACGCGTATTAAAGCAACTGCGAGCCAAGTTGGAATCCCGTGTTCAGAACTAGAGGGCTCACGACAGGAGTGCTTCGAGACGTGCTGAGACAGCACAGACAGTTCGCGACCCGATATTGTGGGGGAAACACCGCAGCTTTTTGCGCTGAGTACGGTTCAGCAGACGTTCAACAGCTATATGACGGACAGAGCCGGGGTCTCCTTTAGACTGCCCTAGCGGAGAACACTTCCACTCGGAAGCATACGCCACCCGATGTGAAACAGATCATCCAAGCAATTGGTAAATAGGACCTCAAGTGTCGCTTTGGCGGTATCAGGTGAGGGAGAGACCGATGATTGGTAGATGTGATGTGTATCTGTTGTTATATTGTTCTCGTCATTTTTGTGTTTCTGTTCTTGTTCTGGAGTATATCGAATAATATATTGTTGAATTGACAACCCCCTTCGCTGTACATAATTGATGAGTAGCGGAAATGGAGAAACAAGACTTAGCCTGTATTGTCTCTCACGTCTGACGCGCATTTCTTCACATAGTGATCTAAGCCGAAGGGGTCGTCATCGACATCTTAGTCCATGTTTCAGCATTCCGGATATAGTAATCGTATCAATGCGTAGAGACATGATGTGGGCGATAGGTACAAGAGTACATACTTCGGAGTACGTATTGACCTCTCACGTACGATGAATTAGTTACTCGGTGAATCTCATTTGGTCTTCGCAATCCTTCAGGTGGAGATTTTCATCTTAGTCCCTGTACATCGCGGCTCGATCCTTCAAGAAATGGCATGAGGTCGAAAGAAGGCCGAATGATGATATCCCTTGCCACCAATTAGCGTCGACAGACTCTGTCTGTGGTCTGTGATCACCGTCTGCGGACTAAAGCACATGTGGTGCTCACTGACCCCATGCACTTGGATAGCGTGGGAAGTCGGCAGGATGCGATCCGCCTGTCTATCAGCCAGCGAGCGATCAGACAATAATAATAAGTGGGATGTGATTGATTCGAGCAACCGCCACGCGTGGGAAGTCCCATGCAAGTGTCCCAGAATGGTCTGGTTTGAGGCTACAGAATTCATGTATAGTGTGTTCTATAGCAATAATGATTTAGTCCAATGTTCTGTACCGTGTGGAAGCCGTGCGGAATCATTTTCCCTCCCGCGTGCAGGGATGCAGAAATCCCTGCTAGTCTGCGACAAACAGTCAACCTGTGAGTGGCATGGTCCGATTAGTAGAACGTGCTTTGGATTGAGCTCTCACTCGTGATTTAATAATGCGTGATGTAGCAGCCATACCCTGCTTTGTACATGGTACCCCCGAGTAGTGCTCTTGTAGCGAGAGTGGAATTGCATCATAGCCATGACGCTAGTAACAGAATGGTATATGTATACAAAGTTACGGCGCTTGTTCCCGCCATTGGGCGGTGTTGAAAGGCGGATCTAATCGCTGTTAGTGTGGGTGTGTATTTCCTCCCCTCATCCCACTCTCTTGTACCTTTTTTTACATTTTACAAGAATAACCGTAGTGGTGGTAATGTTCTACAAGAAAAAGAAAGCATTCAAGTCGGAGATAATCCCTTTTCTCTGCATTTCGATGCATATTCTTGAGACAACATGATCGTTCGTGGCCACCTCGGTTGACCTGATTCCGATAAGATACGCCCGTATCAATCAGTTGCCCTATGCAGAAACTCCCACTGTTTACGTACCTCCCATCCACATAGCATGGGCTTTTCTCTTCATACATACATAATATATAGACTGTACTGTTTTTCTGACAAGCCGCATGACTAACAAGTTTTTTGTCCTGCCCATGGCGTGGTGGAGCGAGTCATCAGTTACATACGCGATTTCCGCTGTCAAAGAAAAAAAAAAAAAAAGTGACTTTTGCAAGTTTCAAAATTTCGGTTCCTTGAAATTTAATTGCTTTTTTTTTTTTTTTTTTTTCTAATTTCTAACAATAAATTCATTCTTCGGCGATCGTCATCCTCGTCGTCCAGAGGTACATATTTGATCGTTTTACCTGCTGCTTTTGACTTTTTTTTCCCCCCCTTCTTCTCTCACTCACACCCCTCTCTCTTATATCCTCATCCTCTCGCTTTATACCTTCTACTGTATAGTAATACTTGCATCCTTTTCTCCGGTCAAGAGAGAGGTTCCGTTTTCTCTTCGTCTCTTTCCATTTTTTTCTGGTCTCTTTTTTCACCTGCTTTCTCTAACTTAATCCATCGTCTCTCTCGTTATGGAGCCTGTTCTGCGCAAGCCTGAGATCAACTACCCTACCACATCAACTACCATGCCTCGTGCTCAGCCTTCGTCTTCGCGCGGTCCTTCCCGTCTCAAGGCAACTCCTGCGGAGGACATGCACGATGTCCTCTGCATCGGTTTCGGACCGGCCTCTCTGGCAATTGGTATTGCCCTTCACGATTCCTTGGATCCCGCTCTCGCAAAGCCTGGTACCAACACCAACTTCCAGCCCAAGGTTTGCTTCCTCGAGCGACAGAAGCGATTCGCCTGGCACTCGGGCATGCTGGTCCCCGGCTCCCGCATGCAGATTTCGTTCATCAAGGATTTGGCAACCCTCCGTGACCCTCGCAGCAGCTTCACCTTCCTCAACTACCTCCACCAGAAAGAGCGCTTGATTGACTTCACCAACTTGGGAACTTTCCTCCCGGCCCGGATGGAGTTCGAAGACTACATGCGGTGGTGTGCTGAGATATTCTCGGATGTGGTGGCTTATGGTCAGGAGGTGGTGGAGGTGATTCCTGGCAAGTCGGACCCTACCAGCTCCGCGGTGGACTACTTCACTGTTCTCTCGCGCGATGTTGAGACGGGCGAGATTACTTCGAGAAACACCCGCAAAGTCGTCATTGCCATTGGTGGCAAGGCGAAGATGCCCCCCGGTCTTCCCCAGGACCCCCGCATCATGCATTCCTCCAAGTACTGCACCACCCTTCCCGCCATGCTGAAGAACGACTCCAACCCCTACAACATTGCCGTCCTGGGAAGCGGTCAAAGTGCCGCTGAAATCTACCATGACCTTCAGAAGCGCTACCCCAATGCGCGTACCACTTTGATCATGAGAGATACGGCTATGCGTCCTAGTGATGATTCGCCATTGTATGTTACACTTCCACTCCCCTCAAATTGGATGCGCAGCTAACAACGCAATTCGTATACAGTGTCAACGAAGTCTTCAACCCTGAACGTGTCGAAACCTTCTACAACAAGTCTCCCGAGGAGCGTCAGCGTTCCCTCGCCGCCGACAAGGCAACCAACTATAGCGTTGTCCGTCTCGAATTGATCGAGCAAATTTACAACGACCTGTACCTCCAGCGCGTCAAGAACCCCGACGAGACCCAATGGCAACACCGGATCCTTCCTTCCCGCAAGATCACTCGCGTTGAGCACCACGGCCCTGAGAACCGGATGCGCCTCCATGTCCGGTCCTCTAAGGACACCGCCGCTCCCTCGGAAGGCAAGGAGACTTTGGAAGTCGACGCTCTCATGGTGGCGACTGGCTACCAGCGCGATGCGCACGAGGACATTCTGCGCAATGTCCAACACCTGCGGCCCGCGAACTTGGAGCAATGGATCCCCAGCCGGGACTACCGGGTCCAGATGGACTCCAGAAAGGTCAGCGCACGGGCTGGTGTCTGGCTTCAGGGCTGCAACGAGAAGACCCACGGTCTGAGTGATAGCTTGCTGTCTGTCCTGGCGGCGCGTGGTGGAGAAATGGTGCAATCGCTCTTTGGCGAGCAGCTGGCGGGCAAGGAGGTGCAGGACACCACCCCGATTCGTGCCATGCTGTAATTGAAGAGAAGAAGGGTACCAATCGGGTCTTGGGTCTGTGACCTGGCCCGTCTTAAAAGGAGTCGTTTTGATAAAATCCGCGCCGTGATCTATTGATGCATGATTTGTGATATTATTGTTCTTATTTATTTCCCTATTTGTTCGACATATATATTACTATTATTCCCCATTATTTTATATGTTTTTTTTTTTTTTTTTTTTTTTTTTTTTTTTTTTTGGGTGTATAGAAGTTGATAGTTTGATAGAGATTTTGAATTTACTTTCTTTTACTTGAGCATTTACTTAGTCAAACTCCGAGACAAACCGTACAATCCCTAGCATTATTCCGCAGCAAAGGAGCACATACCACACAGACACAGACTCCATACAGCGGACAACTCCGAAAGGACTACTACTACATCTGTCCAAGCAGGCCAGATCCCTGCCGCATGAGTAAATCGCAAACCAACAACACTGAAACCAACCACGGATGGACAGTCGAAAACTGGGGCGCATGAAATTGACGGGCCCGGATCGGACGTAGAAACAGTGGGATCATCGTCGGAACATCCTAGGCTGGTTAAAGGCGCCGAGAGAGAGGTGGTACGATGAGCGCCGCCTTGGATGGGACCGGTTGCCTTTAGGGCGCAGAGCTTCAGCCAGACCCTGTCGCTCCCTGCGGCTTACGGCTTTGGTATGCAGTGCTCAATTTGGGGGTATTTGGGGGTATACTGTTGAAGAGACGGTGAGGAATTGCTTTCGTAGAGTACTCCGTATGTACAGTGACATTGTCAAATGCCGCATTCATCCCCAACTCCAGATTCAGAGCAAAACACGACCTCGGAAGTCAAGCGAGCAAAAAAAAGAAAAAAAAATACAAATACCAGACCCCATAATAAAACCCTGCAGGTACGACAAAAAAACAGCAAGCGAATTGGCCAAAACCACCAAGACAGCTCTGTTTTGATTTCTGCAGATCGTTCCAGACTTTTTCAAAATCGTAATCAATCAGTGGCACGAAGTCTTGGCCGCGTGCCGTGATTGGCTTAGAGTCAAAACCTCGGCAAACACTACGGATCAGATAACGTGTAAAATGGAAAATTTTTATCTGATTAGATTATTGTGCGTTGGGTGGGGTTGGTATCAGTGTCAGTGGCAGTTGACACTGCTGGTTTTCTTTTTGGGGGAGGGGATTGTACCCTTGGTACGGTGCTGTTTTAAAGAGTAATGATTGATCTGTTCAATTGAACTGCCATACTTTTCTTAAGCATAAGAATATAAAATTTTCAGCATCTACAGTATCCTATCACGTCCTCCCCCGGTAAACCAATTTAAGTTCTACAGAACACACGAGCCCCTTCTTGTCCCGGTTTACCCCTTGACAAGAGAACACTGCTCTTTGGTAATAATATGCCCAGAAGGACTGACTCTGCACTAACAATCCCCAAAGCTCCGTATTCGGGCGTACCCGCCATGGGATAAATAAGTGTTATTCCAAGCGAGATCATCAGATACCACGGGCCATAGGAATTTGTTCGTAACCACTCATATACGGAGTACGGGTGCCATGGGAAGTGTACCCGTAAAATACAGCGAATTGCAAAATACCAAAATTACCGCTTCCGAGATAAGATCCTAGCGCCGTTTTTTTTTTTTTTTTTTTTTTTTTTGCCGGGCTAACGCGCGCTCAGCGACATCGGATATGGGTTTTCTGGTTGACTCCAGTCGTAATATGGGGATGAGGAAAATCCAGTAAGCTCTCTGGCAATAGGACGGTTCAGACCGCCATTTTTCTTTTCTTTTCTTTTCTTTTTTTTTTTTTTTTTTGGCCCCTTGTATACGAGGTTTGGAGTATGGAGACGTGCGTACGTCTTCTGCAGAGATCCAATCAACCCATCTTATCTGATTGATTGATTTGATGATGGTGGGAAAAGAAAAAGGTCACACAACCCACATGTCTCGGCACTTTCCCTGTATAATTCTGACCTAGTCATGAGTCTTGTAGCTTATTACTCCATGGCCTGTACTCCTACAAGGGTGTCCTGTCCTTGTCCAGTAAAAGTGGTGCTCTTTCCCTACCCCCGGACTACGGACTGTATCCTGTATCCTGCATTCTGAATTCTCTATCCTCCTTCCCGTCCCCCGAAAATTCAAGCGTAACCCGGCCCGTAGTCTTGGCTCCGGCCCCCGTCGTGCTGACAACCTGAACAAGAAACCTCTACCGTACCGTTCAACGGAGAATGCTGCAAACGGAAGAACGGTACGGTACGGAAGGAATCGATCCATGGTGGAATATCGTTAGTCTTGTTTGCAACCAAACTTTGAGTTTTGATGAGTTGATTGATTTGATTGATTTGATTGATACTGTTGATTATCTGATAACCTGCCCGGAGTAGGATTCTGCAGGTGCCACTGTTTAAGCTATGGGGCACTCTTTTTTCGTGGCTTGGTGGTAATAAGCAGCTATGCCCGATGGCAATTGAAGACATACGTACTCCTGTATGCTATTGGATATCTAGCGTGGCATCCTAGCAGTATACTACGTATTCTTCATATAGGACAACCCTTGGTTTACCTAATTGAATGAGAAAGCTATAGCGCAATGCGATGCAATGCAATTGGCTACTGAACGAATGCATGTATGCATCCTATTCCAGAAATCCCGTCACATAATCCTCATGCCGGGAGCATAATCCATCGTCAATTATACCCCAATATCCATGCCCCAACTCTCCAAAGACCCCTGCACTCCCAGGAACAGTAAACGCCGTGTCACAGGTAAAGTGATCAGATGGGACGATGCAGAGACGATCAACTGCAACTGCAAATCAAGATCATCCCTCCTAGCCTTCTAGAGCCGTAACAAATGAGTGAAATCTGTTCTTCAAAATTACCACTCGAATGGCTAGACCCTGAAGTGTATTTAAACATTCGTGTGTATTAGCAAATTATCTTAGCTGTGTAAAAATAACCTGTCATCATGCATATTGCATAAACCCCCCTGTACATGGACCTAGCCTATTACAACTCGTTGCTTGTATGCTTGACACCACAGTACCCCATACGCTATAATCCTTGTCAGTGTATGTGATGGCTGGCGAATTAGCTAGTGGAATTCGAGCACACAACGTGGGACAAAAAAAAAAAAAAAAAAAAGAAAAGAACAGAGCGAATCCATGCGGCGAGTATCCGTAATATCATGGACTCGTATGCAACATAGTACATACAGAAGAAAGAGAAAACAGCAAGCCAAAATAAATACCGCCAATGTCGTCTAACGTCGGACAGGTAAATCATGCAAAATTTGAAAATTCATTCGAGATTCGTTTCGTTATATTCCACTCGGAGTAAGAGTAAAAGGTCTGAATTCTGGCATAAACGACGTCTTAAGATGTGAGTGCATCGAATTGCTCAATGACCGGCGAGTTTAAACATGGTCTTCGCCGGCCACGCTCTGGTAGGCGCCTCCGAATCTTGATCCACCACCAGCACGCATGCGCATTGGTGTCTCATACATCCGGTTATAATTGACAATTTCACCCTCAAGCATCGCAGCGCCGGATTCGCGCTTCCCCAGGTACGGTGCTGGATCACACCAGAAATCCCGACAATTGGTGATAATCCCCCGGGAGAAAGGATTCCGAGGCCGTGCTGCGCGGGGTCCATCCCGTAAACCATCCCGTGCCGTCGCAAAAAAGGCGTCAACACCAAGCAGAGATGACCATTGTTGAATACAGCCATGCTTTCGAACACGGCCATGTGGATTTGGTCCTTGTCCACTGGCGGAAAGTCCAGCAGCGTCAAATGATGTTGTCCCTGCTGTCATGGCCGACGCGAGGGCCCGGGAGCTGGGGTAACTTCTGTCAATCGAGTGGCCCCGCATGTTCTCGTAGGTCGTCTGGTTCCGTGACACCTGGACCAGTTGAACGGCACAGAGCATTGTGATCCAGACCAGCTGAATGCTTATCCACAAGTCAAGAATGAGAGTGAAGGTGTCACGGAGCACATAGCTGCAGAGCGTATCATTGATGACACTGCATGTCAGTTCAGTTGGTGCCGGCAGAATATTGATATCTAAATGGTTTGTCAGCTAACAAGCACTCCATCCCCATTACAAATAAACACCTACAGGAGACTGTCAACAGCACGAAGAGGGTGATACCGATCCCCAGGCAAGCGATGTACAATACGAAATGGCGCAGATTGTTCGCTCCAACGCAATTGTCAATCCAGGGGCAATGGCTACCACATGGTTAGTATCTCAACATCTCTTAATGGACGGTTAGAAAGGTTCCCTTACTGGTCGTGCTTGGCAACACATCGCCCGCAACGCCTGCAATGCTTGCTACGCAACGGCTTTCGGATCATGCAGAAGACACAGAAATTCTCTTCGTCGAATTTCCACGATTCAAAAAGTTCGGCAATGACCGACCTCTGCTGGTTCCTACTGCCAAGTTTGGGGACATAACCAGGGTCTTCGACCATTGAGATGATGTAGAAGTAAGTTGTCGTTATGAAGAAGAGCGAAAAGAACACGTTCAGAATCGGGTTTGTAGAGTAAGTGACTAAAGACCAATCAGCCCACAACCCTTGAATTCTACCACAAAGGGAAAGATTTATACTTACCTGGCAGCACATTAAGGACGTATCTGACACCAACCCAGAACAGAGACCCAGCAAACACCCCCGATAAATAGGGCTATATTCAGTTAGCAGCAAGGCCAGACACATATACGCGACGCGGACTTACCGTTCTCTGGAGGACCCTATACTCCGATGGACCCTTACTGGCAGCCTTTTGAGCAACATACTGCAGGCCGAACACGGTAATGAGCATTGCAGGAATGGACGCATAAATGGCCATGTTGCTGAGGATCCACGTGGCAACGAATACCATGAGAAACGGCCAAAGGAAAAAGAACTTTGACATGATGCCCTTGTTCCGCACCCAGCTCGCCAGTCCCATGGGAAGAGCCTTGGGGCTTCCATCAAACTCGTAACCGCATTCGTCAAGGGCTCGATACCACACTCGCACAGTGTTCATCTCCGAAGCCACTGTTGCCGGTGCCTTGCCATCCCTCGTCTGTGAGAACCGATCCGCGCCATACTCGATGAGTTTCTGAACGCAGGGCAGCGATCCCTTTACCAATGCCCAATGGAGAGGAGTCAGCCCACTCTCATCGACCGCATTGGTATTGGCGCCCCAGCGCAGAAACAGATCTACGCATGCTGGGAACCCTTTGTATGCCGCCCACATCAGCCCGGTATGGCCTTGTTGATCCATAACATCCACCGGTATTTCTTGGTGTAGAAGCAGCACGAGTAAAAACGCATTCCCGTCGATGGTTGCCAAATGCAGAATGTTGTAGCCCTGAACGTCGGTAAGAAGAGGATCCGCGCCGCACTGAAGCAGGAGGTGAACGATATAGTAATGGCAACGTTGAGCAGCCCACATCGCCGGCGTAGCGACGGACTCTCCTCCTTTGGCGTTTACATCCGCCCCCGAGTCCAACAAGAATTTGCACATCGCATATTGATTGTTGATCGCGGCCCACTAAAGCAAGAACAGTCATAAACAGTCAGCAAATGCGCCGATAACATAGACACAGGAAAACCGGATAGATACGCACATGTAACGGTGTGATTCCTTCCTCATCCTTGTGGTTGGCTGTCAACTTCTTCTCCTCGAATATCCTTTGCATGGCCGAAATTTCCCCTATCCGGGCAATCTGCATGATATCCTCCCCGAGCGGAATTGAGCCCTTCACACCTGCGCGTTCCGGGTTCATGGTTTTGAGTTCAACGTTGGCATCATGCGGTGTAGCCTTCGGAGGTGTCCCTTTCCCGTTGGCGTTTTGCGGCGAATTCGAAGCCACGCCCGCGGCGTTACTACCGCTGCTCTGCGATTCAGACATATCTGGTTCGCAAGCAGATAGAGCGAGTTTTAGTGAAAAGGGGGAGCAGGCACTTTGCGTTCACTTTCGGCGGTAAGGGAGAGGGCCAAGGCAGCGGAGACAGGTGGCAGCGTTTCGGAGGTTGATGATCTCGACAAAACTGCGTCTAAAAGACCATTGCGAATCCACGAGTGTTGATTGGAAAGTCAGAATAGGAATATATCTTTCTAGAAGTCGCAGCTTTTCAGAGAATAGAACCGAAGTCTGGGAGGAAGGAAGGGAAGGAAAAAAGATGGGGATGTTATTTTTTGGTCCGCTGAAGCGGCCGCGGACAGACGCTAAGAATGAAGATTAGATGACAGGTACAATAGGGCTTAAGGAGTGATCACAATCCATTCGCGGTGTCTATTCTGTATGTACATGCATATATCTGGCTACTATTTTGACATATCCCTTCCTTTTCTTCCCTTTCTCTTCATTCTTCTTTACTCATCTGTATAATCTGGTATACTTGGGTGTCCGGAATAGGCTGACTCAGCCAATCTTCAGAGCTTTAGGCAGCCGCATTGTATTCCACACCGATTCCTCGTCAGCCCTACGGAGTGGGCGACGTTTCCAAGAACCATTGGGCCGATACTGGTGCAATCGGCATTGTATCGGCATTGGGGATTTGTGCGATCCGCTGCCACCACCAGTTACGCGCCTTTCTTGCCATTCTGGATTTCTGACGCTCCCTCGCAACTCATACACCTTTGAATTAGATCTTGCGCTTCGTCCAGAAGCATCTGGGTGTCGACCCGCAGCTTGAAATCCACCAGAAAGCAGAAGCTGATTTCGATCTTGGAAAGTTCGCGCTCACTCACTCCGCCAACCTTCGCAACTCGACTATGAGGGTAACTGAGGTCTTCCAACGCTTTCATCGCTACCCCAAGACCAGCAAGGATGAGACGGTGCATATTCTTCGGATTAACAGACAGTATCCGTTGGACGACTGCCATCTTGGTAAAATAAATGCTGGTAGCAAGATAGACTGCTGTGGACATGGGGCAGTACTTGTGAAGCCGTAACAGGTAATCTCGTAATGAGATGGGCGGTTCTTTTTTCGACACAAATTTTCGCAAAAGCACACTAAGCTGAAGGATATCCTGGCCAGCCGTGTCATCAGCTGTTGGCGGGGCATGCAATTCAGCAGTTCTTATTTGTATGGGCGCTTCCCCATCGAAGGTATTGTCTTGGTGATTCTCGCCATGAGCACCAGGAGAATTCACCAGGAGATCCGTCGGTGTTTGGATAGTTGACTGTGCAAGGCTCTCGATATTGAAGCATAACAGCTCCAAAGCCGCAGCTGGCGAGATATCAAAAACGTCTGCGATGCCATGCGACGCCGATTCAGTTGGCACATCCTTTTCTTTATCAATACCGGATTTCGAAACATTCTGATTCTGTGACGCCCTCGTGCCTTCGGGTGAGTATTGCGCTTCTTGCATGCTGGGTGCCATGTTCGAATCATTCGTTGCGACAGAATGCGAAAGGCATCAAAAGAGGGTGTCACGAAACAACGACTTTTTTGAACTTGTAAGTGGAGATCGATTCCTTATGTGAGAATGGCATTGTTGGACCGGTCCCGGTTTCGAGTCAGTAGAATTGATGACCCTTGTATACAAAGGTCGAGGATCGAGGCAGGTGGCGGCGGCGACGATGATGGAACACGGGCAATCGCTGGCAAAAGGGCAATGATGGTCCGAGTTCCACGCAATTGTCTGAACAGCTGCCAGCTAAATATAGCAGTATTGAAACAACTCTGGAGATTAGTTTTCAATTCTGCGAACCCGGAAGCTGTATCCGCATAGAACCACTCCCTCTAGAACCACTCCCTCTAAAGGATTGACTGAGAACAAGGAATTGACTGGAGATAAACTTCTAAATGAAGGATATGAAGGAAAGAAGAGCAAAAACAGAAAAAGAAACAAGTCAGGGACACATATTGTATGGTTGATTCGAAGGTAATTGTCGACTACCAGAGCTGGGCTGAGAATAACTTATTCGGACATTCTTTCAACCGATCAACAATAAATGCCCCTCCTTCATCCCCCGAACACAACAACCATCGCAGGAAAATACTGTACAAAGAGCGACTACAGCTCAATGGAACATTCAATGAGATGACTCGAATGGACATATTAAATTCCAATTGACTAACCAGAGATACGCCGATATTCACCATCTAAAAGCAACGTTGATAAGAAACAAATACAACATGCTGAGCATACGGAGTATTAACAAACACAGGCACACATAAACAAACAACAAATGAAAAATGGTCGTCGCGACTTCATATCCACGCGGTTTCTGGGCGAAGGAATGCTCAACGCCAACGCGGACGGTCTCTGTCATAAATGAGCATCCTCTCGTTTCTAATATCATATGGCCGAACACGACCGAACCCCCTTAACGGCCTTCGAATCGTTTGCGGCTCAAATTCATCCCGATAGGTCTCATAGGTTGGCCTCCCGCGGGCTTCCATACAAATGCGCTCCCCAACCCGTGAGAGATGTCGGTTACCGTCCTGGATTATCCTTGGTCGAACGTGGATTATGTTAGGGGCGGCGCGGTCTCGTTGCGTCTCCCTTTGCCTCCCAGGCCACGGTGAAGGCTCCCTTGTATGTCGCTCTTGCGGCTGTTGCGGACGCCTTCTTTCCTCGATGATCTCATCGCTTCGGCCTCTATTGTCGCTAAAAGAACCGCTTCTATGCGGCCCAGGAGTATCTTGTCGACCTCCATGACCATCCCTTTCAACCGACGCATCCCTTTCGTGAGTCGGCTCGCATTCAACGTCGCTGGCGAAATGAACCCTCTTCTCCCCATTTCTTTCACGGCTGCTAGTTCTGGAAGGTTTCGTGTCTTCTGATCTATGGTTATGGATCTCCACAACCCGAGGAGGGCGAGGTGAAGAGTGTCGTCGCCGGATAGGTACACGCTCAGCAACAGGTGATCGTTCTCTTGGACGGCGAGGCTCACGATTCGTTTGTGAGTCTCGAGGGCTCGGGGTCGAAGGCGCAGGATCGCGTGGACATTCCTGCCTCCTGGGATCTGAGACAGGAGACCTACGCTGTGGTGAAGTGGTTTGGCTGCGCCGCTGAGTGCTCCGCCGCTCGGATCTGTGCCTCTCGGGAGGATCGACTATGAAAGGACGAGAACCACTCTCACGCCTTCTGTGCGTCTGACTCTCTCGATTGTTGTCGGACTCGGAGGAAGTTCTTCTGGGGAAAGGTAGGTGTATTCGGACCGGGTCGCTTTGACGCCTCGGTAGTGGTGAGGGTCTTCTGCTTTCAATGGTTGGAGTTGAGCGTTCTCTTGAGCGTCGTGACTCAACCGGCTGGATCATTTGAGATCTAGGTGGTGAGGGCGAGGGCACCCTCCGCCGCCTCTCGAGACGGAAACGCTGTATATGATACATTTTGCCGTGGTCATATACCCGCGTACGCCTGGAAGTCCCTCCTCGACCTGGACTAAACAGACACGTGCGGATTATCTTTCTGGTTCGAATTTCCTGTGAATGAACGTCTGAGTATCTTAATTCGGCACGTCGCTTCTTGTTCTGCTGCGATCCAACGTTTTAAAAGGACTCGGGAATGTCGTACCATTGAGTTTATTTGCTCTTGCGAATGGTGTATGGTGATTTGCTATACCTCGAGGCTGAAAGAGAACACTTCGGACGAGATTGAAACTCGGACAAAGGGGTATTCTTCCACGATAACAAAGACAGGGCATAGTAACCGCTATAGAGGTGAGAAAGAAAGAGACAAAAGATGGATTGTGCCTCTCTGTTTGCGACACCAGACAAAAGGACAATGTCATGAATCAAAGACATGTGGCTGCTGTCATGAGCCTAAGACATCTGATATAAAAGAACACAGACATAGTGTCATTAGGATATTTTAAAAATAAAGAAATAACGATTTTGTCTTCTTCTCACTTGTCCTCTTTCATCCTGCTCCCTCCAAATGACAGATTCCTCAAGAATACAAGGCTCTTTATATACAAAGGAATTGACCATGACGAAACGTTATCCCGCTGTAGCCTAATAGAAGTCCGTCTTCTTTGCCCTTAATTTACTCTTAACAATCAAATCCAATCCTCAAAGGAATTGGGACGTTAAGGCAACAAAAAGAATTGATAAATAGACGGAGAACTTGGCCGATTCTCAGAGAAAAAGAAAAACCAACAGAACCCTGCGTGATCAAGCCCCAAGCACTGGTGAACAATGACGGAAAGGAAGAGGGATGGTGTGGCTGGTTCGCCCTTGGTCACAGGGGCGCAGTTCGAGTCAGCAGGGACTAGATAGTGGTCATTGTCTATTGAACAGTGATATGGAGAAGAGCGGTCTCAGAAAAAGGAAATAATAATAATATAAAATAAATAAATTTAAAGAGTTCGTAGAGAGCGTTGTAAGATCTACTGTACACTTGTGATATACGGAGTACACCGTCATCCCTGCTGGTGTGGTAGTACAACAAGTGCCCGGAGTGCGCCTTGACAGCCTTGCAGGTGACAATAGATTGCGATAGAGGATATGCCATCCCAAGTGCATGTGGCGCGGGACTAGACTACACCAGCCACATTGTAGAATCAAATCAGATAATTTAGAAGTTGTTGGATAGTGGACTACTGCACATTATGCATTGCCGCAGTTGCATAAGGATTTGTAGGGATATCAAACCTACCCTGGGTAGTACATAATTGGTAGTAATATTTATGATATCATGTCGCGAGTTCATTATGGGCGGATGAAGCGCGAGTTAACGAACAGACTGCCGTTATATCTGGGGACAAACAAGAGAGATGCCTAAACATGCGGAGGTTATCGCCAAGGCAGGCATGCAAAAGTGAAGCTATGGTGCCCATCGTTCAAGGAATCTATCCTGGTTCTTGTCGCGCTGATGAAGCGCATCCAGATTGAGGTTCTCCACTCCTTTCTGAACGAAGCCCAATTGAGCCTCCAATTCCGCGAGGCTCTGGTCCTGTTCAATGTTTGAAAGTGAAGTCTCAAAATACGAGTCTGCATGCAGGGAGGAAGAAAGAAGTCGAGACGCTCGATCCGTTGGAATCAGTTCGGTCACGAGTGGCAAATCAGCACCAACGCCGAATGTCCGAAAGTACTCCAGCACGTGCGATTTCTTCTCGTACAGGGCATTTGTGCCTCCATCCTCTTTCTCGGATTTGAAGACTGATTCAGATGAGAGGCCCACGCACCGCAGCAGGCTTGCGAGGGCCTGTGATTCCGGGAGTGGAGCAGTTTGCTTTCTGAAAGAGCTGAAAAGTGACTGCGGTTGCATGGAACGCCCCCTCAGCATTGTCTCCCGTCTGGATGTCGTCTTTTCCGAGAACGGATCACCCACTTCGGACCGGTAAGTGCTGATGAGGCTCTCCAGAGTCTGGCAGTATGATTCGCGGTCCTGTAAGCGTTGGGTTAGGCTTTCCGTGGAAGATGTCATTTCCATAATTGTATCGAGAACCTGTAAGAAATCAGTTGCCTACCCAACAATCATGATAAGATAATGGCATACACATTCGAGCTTGCCCTGGGAGGCATTGCGCAATTGCCCGTGGCGATTCTGGAGCTCACGCAAGACCGGCTCGCTGAACTGTTGTCTTGTGGACATCTCGGCCAGAACATCGACTTCCGGATATAGTGACTCCAGCTCCTCTCTCAACGCAGCCAGCGCTTCCTCCTCATGCTCTCCTGCTGCCTGCTTGGATCCTGCCTGATCGGCCTGAATGCTTTCCAAATACAAGCGATCAAGACGGTAATGGATCTCTTCCGCGACGTACTCTGCGAGCACCGCCCCCAGTTGCTCGGTACGTTTGGCTACAGAGGCATTATTTCCAGTAGACTTGATCTCGGACGCTAGTCTTTCCAACCCTGCCAGGATCCTATCATCCTCCTTTAATCTAGACGTCAGCGAGGACAGTATCTTTTTCCCGTCCAATCTGGCTTTCTCCGTCTCGGCTCTCATGTTGGCTTCCAGCTCGTGGACAAGATCATTGGACTGTATCGTGTCAGTGGCATGTTACACAAATGCACAGCATGAGGTCATTACCGCTGCATTGGCATTCTGCCTGCCCGACTCGTGCTTTTTGCGAAGGCGTTCTATATCCCTGTTTTGCCCGATGGCCCGATCGTCGTCGAGGCGAAGCTGTTTATTCAAGGTCTCGCATTGGGTGGTTAAGATCTCTGTTTGCTTCTGGATGGCCTCCTTTGAGGCTTTTAGGGATCCGATCGCATTCTGGATATCTTCGTCAAGGAGCGGTCGGGTCGAAGCGAGGCCTGGGTCGTGGACGATATGTTGTAGAGTACCCGAAGATTCTAATTGCGAGTATCTTATTATGGATATGTTAGCTAAATTATCGACATAGTCTTCCAAATATTGCCAGAGACATACAGAGCGAGCTCCTCCTTTGTCAACAAAGTGTCATAGTTGAGATGCTCCGATACCCATTTTGCATTTTCGGCGCTATTAGCCTCATCATCAAAAGTAGACTCGATTTCGCTTCGTTTGACCGAGATATTGCGTTCTTTCAACGCGGATATGAGTATATCTGCCGGATTCTTCGTTGTGCATTCCATTGTTTCGCGGTGTTTGGCTCGTTGACAGTGCGGAACAACGTTTCTCTCCGCTCGGGGCTACACTCGAAGGCCTACACACAAGAGGATCCCACAATAAGGGGATTCCATAGTCAAATTCACACTTTATGACTTATTGTGATACAATACAGGGGTATTCTTCTTTCAATCAGAACCATATACATATCTCTGATCTTCATCTGATCTTCGTTCTGCTACTGCATGGTTGGGGCTATTTCCTACTTTAGAACCAGGCAACATCATTACATTGAAAATCAGATTCGTCATTAAAATACTAGGCAGATCAATTCATGAGACTTATATATGCAGGGAACAGCCCAACTCCAGAAAATGAAAACGCTTCAAAAAATAGGCTGTGAAGAATGCCAAACCTCACGATGATGCTGACTTTGTTGGCTCAACCTTGGGATAATACCAAGTGGTCACCGCGATAATCACATAAATGAGCACACAGAGACCACCCTCAAGCCAGGTGGACTTGCCATCTCGCAGGAAATTACCAACGACCAGGATGGCCAGCACAACGAGAACGATCATGAAGATTTCGAAGTTCAACCCTAGATCCTTATCAAGACACCAGCCCACAATAACTGCCAGGGGCGCATTCAACAAGACAGTCTGGATGGATGGGCCGAGACAGTGGAAGAGTGCGAAATTGATTTGGTTATCCCTGCATGTTTCAGTTACACGGCTGTTGTGGTTGTTGACCGGATGGATAATGTACTTACCAGGCTTCGTCAATGGCTGTCAGATGCTCTGCGGCCTTCTCGACCAGAGGAACCAGGATAAGACCCATGAAACTATCCGACACGCCTCGCTCCTCGACAATGTGTTCGATCTCCTGGACCAGGAAAACGGCAGACATACAGACGCAGGTCAGTGATATCACTATGGCCACCAAGCATTCGGTCAAAGTGAGTTTGGTTCTTCTAGCCTCTTTCTCTCGGTCCTCGTCCTGGGCCTCATCAAATTCGAGAACTTCATCGAAAATCGAGTGGTGACTATGAAGATTGTAAACCAAATACCTGGGGCGAAATCGGTTAGCGAGTGGGATGGTAAAAGCGCGGGGCTTGCCTGCCAGGGACCCACATGAGAAAGGCACAAAGAAGGATGACGGCCGTGGCTCTGCTGATTGTCAAAGTGAACCTATTCAAGTCTGGGTGGGTAATATGGACATTGCTCGCCAGGGTCGCATAGAAAGCGCTGGGAATCAGCAACCCAAAGCCCGCAACCAGCAGCAGCCCCGAACCGACTTCGCTGACGGCCTCATGGAAGTTTTGTTCGCTACGCCCGATGCCTCCGAAGAAGAAGCACATACCCAAACAAAGCAAGAGGTTCGCCAGCACAGAACCAAGAATAGCGGCTTGAATGACAGGAATGAATTGTCCGGTGTCATTGTGAATCAAAACCATGAAAAGCACGACCTCAACGACTGAGCTCAAGGTTGTTTCCAACAAGACACCCAGTACCTTAGGAAGCTTTTTGGCGAGTTCTCCACCGGCGAATCCCAGGAGGTTTGCCGACGGCACCATTGCGATGTAATTAAGGGTGAATATCCAGACATGAAGATCGGGCCGAGCAAAATGGATGGCAATCGCTGCCGGAACGACGGGCCAGAGAATGTTCACTAGCATTGACAAGGTGCAGGTACTCTTGAAGCAGACCTGGAGGAAATGGATCGGATGGACTCCCCTTCTGCCGCTTTCTCCAGCAGTGTCCACACGAAACATCTGGCGACGAGAGAGACTGGGAACAGAACCAACTTTTTCATTGTTGTGCGTGGGAAGTAAGGTAGAGGATTGGCGTGTCTCCGCCGGTGGTGAGGAATTCGAGGTCCTTCTCGGGTCTGCATTGTCCTGAGATGCTCTGGCACTTGCTCTTTGCGCTCGTCTTGACGAACGCCTGTCCATTTCAGTGTGCTGATCAATTCCGGAGCCGCTCTCCATATTTTCGATCAACTGATTAAGCGTCTATCGGTAGCAATTGGTGGCAGAAGACGAAAACAGGAGAAAAGAAGAAAAAGCGGACGAGCCCACGAAATTAATACCCAGTCCCAGCCTGGATGAACGAAATATCTGGGGGGCGAATGGAACGGAAAGAGAGAAAGGAAAAAAAAAAAAAATAAGAATAGGAGACGATCTGATTCTTTTGGATCGTCTTTGCTCTTATAGACTCCAGTCACGGCAGATGATCAGCGGGGAAGAGAGAGAAAAAAAAAAAAAAAAAAAAAAAAAACAAAAACAATAATAAGACAAGAAGTTAAGGTCAAGCAGTTCTGGTGATACCGTGATATATATACGGAGTACTATGGCCCCAAATGACAGAGTACAGAATCCGTTGAGCTCCGTGGCAGCCAGCAGAGAAATTCCGTGTGGATGCAGCTTATTTGACAGGAATGATTGGGCACATATTATAGCTCCCATTTGATTGCATCGTGTGACCCTTTTCACGGCGTTTACTTGCTGGCCAAGCCACCGGGGCGAAATCAACCTCTGCTGCGATGCACCGATGAAACTCCTAGTGCAGGACGCCAAATTGCACATACCTGGACTCCGCAGAGGCTCTGGATAATTCCATGATGCTGCAAGAATACTCCAGAGTACGCATCACTTTGACTCTCACCTCTCATTTTTTATTCTTATTTTTTCCTTTGTTTGGCAGGGACTGCCAGCCACTTCGCTCGTATCGCCAACACACCGGCCCCAAGCACAGACTAGTACTCTGTACGGAATAGTGTGGTTTTGCTGTTTCTCTGCTGGCAATGGATCGCCATCCGGCCCCTGTTGTGTGCACAGCCACGGTCTGCGCAACCTTTGCAATTTTGCGGTCTGGGCGCTATGCTGACAAGCGATGATTGGAAGGAACACTCCAGATTGGTCAATTTTGGTCGCTGTGGCGCATTATGTTTCATCCTAACTGGTACCTCCTGTTGGGGCTTCGCCATTATATAGCACAGAGTAGTAGTAGTAGAGAGACTGTGTGTGTACTCCGTATAGAGAACTCAACATCGGAGTGTGAAGCACGGAGTAATGCTTTTGTACCGGAGTACGGAGTGTGGATAACGACTTACGGAGTGTGTTTACTCCGTATGCCAGCCACTGTGGTTTTTGGCTATCGATAAAGCTCGTGTGGGACGGCACGTTAAGATAAACATGATAAGCTTAGACCGAGTCAATAGACGGTTTATTGTAGGAAAAGCAGTGAACCGACGTGGAAGAGCTCTCTCTCTCTATATATAATGATCACGTTCTACTTTACTCGTGGTCCGTACAGAGTACTCGTACGGAGTCCTTATCCAATGTCGCAAGATCTCCATTCGTTTGCGATGTTTGGCGGAAACGGTTATCATCGGAGTGTCTGTACTCCGACAGTACTCCGTTTGCATCTTCTCTACAAGTACATCTGATCCAAAGTCGAGATTTTCCTCTTCTCTGGAATTCCTAGCAAAACCCACGACCATTCATCCTTCTTGTTGCTTTCACCGTTCCTGATAGTCTCGCACATCAAATGTCCACGATAACCAACCCCGCCATCCCTCCGGTGGCTCTGGATGCCATCACCCAGCACATTGGCAACACGCCTCTGGTGCGGTTGAACCGGCTTCCTCAGAGTCTCGGGATTCAGGCCACCGTCTATGCAAAGCTGGAATATTTCAATGCTGGTGGGAGTGTCAAGGATCGTATCGCCTTGCGCATGATCGAGGCGGCAGAACAGTCCGGCCGGATCAAGCCTGGTGATACTTTGATCGAGCCTACCAGTGGCAACACGTTGGTTACCCTTGTCGTTCTATGCTTACTTCTTGTCGCGCGTGGTTGGACGGCATAGTCTAATATGTCTCTTGGGTTCTAGTGGAATTGGTCTGGCACTGGTGGCTGCCGTCAAAGGTTTGAACTTCTTCGTTTCCGATTCCTCGAATACAGAGGGGTTAATTTTACTTTTTTTTTTTTTGGAATTCTAGGCTACAAGACGATCATCACACTCCCGGAAAAGATGTCCGCAGAGAAAGTGGCTGTCTTGCGTGCACTGAATGCAACTATCATTCGTACTCCCAATGAAGCCGCCTACGACTCGCCTGAATCGCATATCGGTGTTGCCAAACGCTTGGAGAAGGAGCTTCCCAATGCTCATATCCTAGATCAGTACGGAAATGAAAACAATCCGTTGGCCCACGAGTTCGGTACGGCCGAGGAAATCTGGACCCAGACACGCGGGCAGATTAAGGCGATTGTTGCTGGTGCAGGTACTGGTGGAACGATCACCGGGCTATCTCGAGGTCTCAAGAAGCATAACCCAGACGTTCAGGTTATTTCGGCCGACCCTCACGGATCCATTCTGGCCCTTCCTGCGTCATTAAACGAACCCCATGTGAACGAGGGCTACAAGGTTGAGGGAATTGGGTATGACTTCATTCCGCAGGTGCTCAATCAAGAGGCTGTAGACAGGTGGTACAAGACAGGCGATAAAGAATCATTCCAATACTCTCGTCGCTTGATAGCCGAAGAGGGTCTCCTTGTTGGCGGAAGCAGCGGGAGTGCCATTGCAGCTCTTGAGCAAGCCGCCAAAGACTATAACTTTGGGAAAGACGATGTTGTCGTGGTGATTTTGCCCGACAGCATCAGAAGCTATCTCACCAAGGTAAGTCTCACGTGCTCGTCTTATACGATAGCTCTATGATGCTTATTTGATCTCTTAGTTCGCCGATGATGACTGGCTTGCTGCCAATGGTCTTCTGTCATCACCACCTGTTGAAGCCGTGCCAACGTCCCCATCTCTACAAACGCAAGGCCCCAGGGATGCATTCTCTGGAGCAAAGGTCAACTCACTGAGATTAAAGCCGATTACAACTGTCCGGTCGGATTTCCCATGCCAGAGCGCGATTGAAATCATGCGAGATAGAGGATTCGACCAGCTCCCCGTTCTTGCACCTTCTGGAAAGAAGCTGGTTGGATTGGCCACCCTGGGCAATATACTCAGCCGGCTCACTCACAGCCGTGCTACCGGGAAGAGCCCAGTTTCCGACGTCATGTTCGATTTTAGCAGGATCCCTGAAGTTGTGACCGACCCTAGAGATCTGGGACTGACTGCAGGCGGCGAGTCCATCGGGCCGGAGACTTTGAAGGCTCAGCAGAAGAGACGCAAATTCATTGAAATTACGACGGACACTCCTCTCAGCGTGCTCAATCGGTTCTTGGAATGGAATAGCGCAGCTATCATCACCGAGACAAACGAACAGGGAACGATGAGGCCAGTAGCGGTTGCGACCAAGGTTGACCTGCTTACTTGGATGCTCCATAATAATGAGAAAGGTTCCTAAACATTCCGCCCAGGAAATAGAAGGGTTATTACCAGGGTACATTGTGGTGCTATAGAACTAGATCCAATATAATGACGTTATGCTGATAACCATCTCGGACGCCACGAAATATAAATCAGTAAGGCCTTTCTCCACGAATTCCATGTTTCTATCCTTAAACATATTGTAAGCACAAACATGACAGGCGTTTTTACCTATCGAACCTTTTCTCTCCAAGATACACCACCGTTGGATGGGAAAGTGGCGGTGATAACAGTAAGTATTCTGTAACATATACAAAGCATCCCAAATCGTAATTACTTGACAGGGTGGCCAAGGAGGTGTAGGACAAGGCAAGTTAAACCATCTTTTCTCTAATGGTCGTACGCATCTTCATTCAATGGTGTACTGATTCGACTTGGATTTCAGAAATCACCACACGACTTCTCCTAAACAACATAGAAAGGGTCTTCATTCTGGCACGAAACAAAAACAAATTCGAGGAATCACGGAAGAAATGGCCTCATAGAACTGGCCTTTCTCTCGACGTTATCGACAAAAAGCTTGAATTCATACAATGCGAACTCGCGGATATCCGATCAGTAAAGGGAGCAGCTGAGCATATCAAACGGGAGATCGACAGGGTACATATCTTACTATGCAATGCGGGTATGGATTCCCTGCTCCGTGTTAGCACACTGAAGATCTAATTCTGTTCCTTTGGTTTCTAGGGCTGGGCGTGTCCACCCAGTACAATCGGTCCCCGCAGAACATCGAATCGGTCTTCGCAGCTAACTGCGTAGGCCATCAGCTCCTGGTCACCATCCTGCTTCCACTCCTGAAACGTGTGACTATTGACTCGCCGACCAGCGACGCTCGCATTGTCGTGACCACATCATCCATGCACATGTTCTGCCGGCGTTTGGATTTCGACTTGCTTATGGCGCCTAATCCAACCTCCAGGTTCAGGGTTGTTGATGCTGTATGGCGGTACAGCCGTTCGAAACTGGGTGATATACTTCTCACAAAAGAGCTTAGCCGGCGGCTTCAAGAAGGGAATGACCCTGCGGGTAAGAATATCTATATCAATTGCTTCTTCCCGGGTAACATTGTCACGGAGCAATGGATTGGATGGAATGAGCTTTTTGGGAAGCCAATTGGGATGATTATGCGGACTTTATTTTCCTTATTCATGGGACAGAGTCGGGAAGACGGTGCTGCAACGGCTTTGTATTTGGGTGCCAGTGATTTGCCGAGAGAGAAGAACCAGCGTGGTCAATACTTCATTCCTGTTGCGACGGCTGACTGGCCTAGCAAGATTGCCTGTGATGAGAAAGTGGCGCGGGATCTCTGGGTAAGTCATTTCTACTTTCTGTGGATAGGCTTTCTATTCACACAATCCGGTTCTGATTCGCATTAGGACTGGATCGATGCCAAGATAACTCAAACCCTGGGATCAAATTGGCAAGATGAACCTGGAAAGAAGTCTGGCAAAGGCGACTCTAAGCAAAAATAAATAGTAAGACGAGCCTTGAGGCAGATGTGGTTTTTGGATCCGCTGTTTTTCAGATATTATCGGCACATATACCGTACGTGTGAACGAAGGGTTTCTCCAGTGAATTAGATATCTCGCAGGGATAGTATTATTCGTATTTTTTTTATGGTGGTATATGGCTCGCAAATTCGGGTATGGTAGCAAGTATTCTGCAGAAAACTGCGCTATGGAATCTAGAACTCAAAGCAGTGAGACCGGTCACAGATGCTGGCCGATCCATTCTTCCCATCGTCTCACACCAGATCCAATGTTCTCTTCATCGTCTCCCTTTACCGCTCCACCGACAACATCAACCTTAATGCCAACTTCCTCCTCCAGAAGCTTGAAGGTGAACGGGTCCTGAACATTGTCATTGCCCAAGATCTCATCCTCGCCCTCCCCTGTTCCAGAGTCAACACTGGCATCCATGAGGCCTTTGCTCTTTGACTTCCGGATTCTGTCAATCTCAGATTCCAACTTTTCGCGTACCGAACCGGGAGGCAGGGCAGTGAAGAGATCCTGCTTGTTGGCGGCCAGGAGCACAGGAACCTCTCCTGCGACTCTCAAGGCAGCCTTTCCCTTGCTTAGAGCTCGTCTCTGCAGAGCCAGAAGGGCATCGTGTAAATAGCTGGCGGTATCCCGCAAAGTTTCGTCCTGAGTGAGAGCCGCGGTATCGACCACGAAGATTACTCCACGTGCTCTCATCCTTGGGTCCTTGGCGCTCGACATCGACTGAAGCTGGGCCACGCCCTGAGTTCCCCGCAGTTTTCCATGACCGGGGGTATCCCTGACATTGTATTTGATGGGGTTTTTCGAGACGTCTTTCAGCGACGGGTCGTTTACCGATCGGAAGCGGTTTGAGGCAGTCGGGACTGAAACGGGAAGGCTAACGGTAGTGTCGGTGGGCGTCTGGGAAGTATGTGTAGTCTTGGACTTCTTGGCAAGTAGAGACGATTTGGCTTCAAGCTATTGCAAAGACAATGTTAATGAACATGTGAGTCATTATAGACGAAGCCAGAAACTCACCAATGTCACTAAAGCTGTCTTCCCTGATCCACTAGGTCCAAGTAGCACGAAATTGCTCACAGGCGGAGATGCCACCGTCCGGTAGAAAATAACATGTAGAAGAACGGGCAGACCAAAAGCAATAAAGACCGTGATTAGAATGGCAATGGGGTTGCCATCTAATAGGCTGGTCACAACGCCCTCAAGGGAGCTCCAATCTGATTGGTGATGCCTCATTCTCTTGCACACAAGTACTGGACACGAGAAATTGATTGGGATAGAAGAAAAATAGAAGAAAAATAGAAGAAGAGGATGAGGTGGTTATTGCTGTCGTAAGGTCACGGCTGGCCGAGCTCCGGCCGGAACCAACCAAGGTTGAGTACTCCGTAGTGGAGCGTGTCAATAATACTAGTATGCTGTAGATCAACAACATCATCTCAACATCTTTCTTCTTCCCCATCTTGTCGTTCAATTTCTGTGGTATTGTATTGATTGTATATTTAGTTGTTGGAGGAATTGGGTTCTACCAGGGATACTTGGCTGCTATTATTATTGTTGTTGTTGTTGTCATTGTTGCTATTTTGCCCTGCATGATTTACATACCTCTGGTCCGCAGGGGTGACAACCCCCAGTAAAGATAGGAAAAAAAAAAAAAAAAAAACACAGATTTAATTCATTGTTTCTTGAAACTAACGCCTTTCCCTTCTTTCACGCTCGTTTCATTCTGTTTTTGTTGTCTCTTCTACAATCGAAGGTGTCTGTCCATCTCTTTCAGGATGCGATTCCTTCGTCCGCTCTCTTTCGTACTCCCTTTAGTATCCACCGCGGTTGCTGATATCGAATTCACTGCTCCGGCTTTTGGCTCGACTCTCAAGGGTGGTCATGTTGTAACGGCTCACTGGAAGGAGTCTGGTGAACTTCCCAAAATCTCACAACTGTTGCAGTATGATATCCACCTTTGTGCGGGAGGAGATACATCCGATTCCTACGTGAGTGTTTTCTCTATCTTTCTCTATCCCTGCCTATACTGAATATGGCCGTCATGGCCGTGTTAATGTCCAATACTGACCGACATCTTGGGCCTGTATAGGAAGAACTAGCTACTCCCATCAAAGATGCGCCCTTTGCCCGGGGAAATTCAGTCTCGTTCAAGCTTGACCAAGATATTGGGAGTGAAGAAGCAAATGCATAGTAAGAATTATCACTCGTCTACTTGATCGCGTCAGATTATACCTGACATTCTGCTTCGCCTTTGCCCCAGTTTCCTGAAATTGGTCGCATCTGGTCCTGATGCCTCCGTGATCAATTACTCGAGTCGATTCTCCCTCGCCAACATGACTGGCTCTTTCTCCCCGCGAGTTATAGACGGGATCCATGCAATCCGAGACATCAGCGGTGCTCCCCTCAGAGAGGACCAAGAACATGAAGGATTCCGGAAGAGACAGGTCGTTGGGGCACCGGCTGCTGCAGCGACGGGTCTTGGAGCTCACACCATTCCCTATGAACTACAGTCCGGCCCAACCCGGTATGCTCCCATGGCGAAAAGACCTGGTAGTACTATTCCACCTGGGACGCCGACCCCGCAACATCCAACCAGCCACTACTCCATTGCTACTGCTTATCTTAGTGCTCCTACTGTTGAGACTACGGTTTCTGCTACTGATACGTACAAAGTGACAAACATTGAGAACACGGTATGTTAACTCTACCACGTAATATTGTAGCTTGTGCTCTGACCTACAATCTCACGTCTAGGCAACTCCTGCGGCACAACCAGAAGACATGAATATGAAGAGATGGTTGGAGAGATGGAAGGATTGACCTTGGAACGTACATGAGAACCTCACATGGGGGATTTCTTCCTTCGGTGTCTACTTACAACGCGGCTGGTTACTTCATAATATCCGTTTCGCATATGGTGTTCAAAGAGGACGTGTATCATCAATAGTTGGTACTAGTTTAATCTCATCTGAGAACCGGCTGATTACCTATATCGTATAGCCCAACGGATTGTATCTAATAGTAAATTATTTATGCCTGAGGTCCATAATGCAGTCTATCTATCCTTTTTGGTCGCTCTCCAGTGTAAAGAAAAGGTTAATCCCGAGAAGATGGAGTTGGAGAAAAAGATGACAGTGGTGTAAAAGAAAACAAAAATATGCATATCATCGTGAAAGTTAAGGCATGATCAAACCAAGCATTCATCAAACATTCACCAACAAAAGTGGCTCCCTAAAATGACACCAGACATTTGATTTTCCTGCCAGCAGACCTCCTCACCAGTATAATGTTACCGCCGAGGCGAATCTTCGTGGTTGAAGAAAGATATATTCTCGCGCAAGGCGACGTATTCGCTATCAGCATAACCGAGGAGGGATTGAATCTGAGTGCTTCTGTGGCCCTTGATACGAGCAACCTCGACGCTGCCATAATTGACCAAAGCACGTCCAACTTCCTTCGGCTCTTGCCAGTGATGAAGAAATTCGCCATTTAAAGCATCAGGAGAGATTTTCTCCACCACAACCAATCGCACTGCTTCCTGTTGTGCAAAATGACCTTCCACACCCAATACACCAGCCGGGAGAAGACCCGCTTTGTTTTGGAGTGCATGGTATGCACCATTGTCAATATAGATAGTCCCGTGTGGTTTTAAGCCGTAGAGCAGCCAAAATGACCGTGACTGGATAGGGCTATCTGAGGGAAGGAACCGGGTGTGAAGAGGAGGGGTTGATGGCGGCTCCTGAGTTGTCATATGAAGATCGCTATCGGCCGTAGCGCTCCCTTCAGAGGACTCCTGTCGAATCCTTTGGAGATATTTTACAATCTCATGAACATTTCCGGGCTTCGAGCTTTTGGTGATGATTGTAGTGACACCTGCACTTGTCCCCAGTTTTGCAGCAATGATCTTTGTGCTCATGCCACCAGTTCCCAGGGAAGAACCTGCAGATGAAACATCTGCTTCCAGGGAAGATATATCCGTAACCGCTTCTATGGGCCTTGCATCGGGATTTGTGCGTGGATTAGCGGTATAAAGGCAATCCACGTCAGTCATCAAGAATAGATAATCAGCCTTGACCATGGCTGCTGTGATGGCCGACAATGTGTCGTTATCACCGAATTTGATTTCCTACGTGGAATTAGAACAAACAGCCGGAGGGAATGTAGGCGCCGATCACATACAGAAACGGCCAGTGTATCGTTCTCGTTGACGATTGGAATCACTCCCATGTCGAACAATTGCGAGAAGGTATTCTGAGCATTAACATATTGCGTTCTCTGTGTCATTTGTTAGAGCATAATGAAGGCGAAATCCAAGACTCCTGGTGTTTTACATCTGCGATATCGTTCCTTGTCAACAGAATTTGTGCCACAGGGAGACGAAGATGCGAAAATAGCGCATCCCAAAGACTCATGAGCCTGCATTGACCGACAGCTGCAAGTGCCTGGCAGCTTCAGTCAGCAGAGCCATAATTATGGCACTAAATATGCCGTAAATACCTGGACGCGAGGCAGATTCTTTGGTCTTTCTTCTATATCCATCCGTTGCAACCCTACACCCACAGCGCCGGATGAAACGAGGACAACATTGTGGCCATCCCGGTGAAGCTTGGCGGCCGTTTCAACAATTAACGAGAGGATAGAGAGGATGGGCTCATGGGTTTTTTCGTCAACGATAGAGCTTGTGCCTGTTCAAAAGTAAGCCAATGCACTCCGTACAACCCGTCGAAAATGAGTCCCCGCACCTAGTTTGATGACGACGGTGAGACGCTCAGAGGCTTTCATAATGTCAACCTCGCTTGATATCTGATCCTCAACACACATCAGATTCCATCAAAAAGCGGCTATTATTGTATGATAAAAAGACAATGTCCCTTTCTTCACCTCCCGCAAACCACTCGGTCATTCTTCAGAAAATCGGAGTGATTGCTTTCTGCCGTCAATTACCGCCAATTCGGAGAGTTTCGGCGGAACATCTTGGGGATCGGAGTCTTAATTCAAGCCCTCGCAAGTCCAGTCAGCGCCAAAATGACAGACCCTTCGCAGTCGCCTGGTCCGGCTTCACATCCGGAGCGCAGTGCCGATAATGGTTATATTCCCGGCGATGATACCTGGACACAATGGCGCAATATCTTTTCGGTCTTAACGGGCAAGATGACGGACGAAGGAAAGGAGCAATTCCGTGTTGCGCGAGATATCCGGAATGAAGCTGCTGATTGCAATCGCTGCGAGGAGCAGCGCAACTTCCTTCTACAATACAGTGAGTCATGATATAGCTTTCTGGAATAATTCGGTTGAACAGCAACTAAGACGTACGGTTGAAGGTCCCGTCATTCGCTACTTGAGCGACAATATCCGACAGCTCGGAGGCGACCTTCACAATCACAACATCTATTGCCGACGATGCACAAACAGGAAGGCCGGTGGTTTCGATCCTGAATACGGTATTCTGATATGTGCAAATGAAATGAAGGACCAGGGGCATCTGGAGGATACAATGGCACATGAAATGGTGCATGCCTATGATCACTTAAGATTCAAAGTCGACTGGACCAACAACCTGAGGCATGCAGCTTGCACAGAGGTAAGGGAGAAATATCCAAGGAGGGGAAACAGTGGCAAGCTGGAGATTTACTAATTCTTTGTTTCTTCTGCCATAGATTCGAGCCAGTTCGCTTAGCGGCGAATGCAGATGGGCGCGGGAGTTTTTCCGGCGAGGCCAGTGGAAATTCACACAACAACATCAAGAATGCGTTCGGAGAAGGGCTGTTCTATCCGTGAGGGCAAGACCCGGTTGCAAAGACGAAGCCCATGCGCAAAAAGTTGTCAATGAAGTTTGGGATAGTTGCTTCAGAGACACACGACCCTTTGATGAAATCTATCGGTGACGCGAACATATGATTCCCCCCTCTTTACATCAGCCGTTCCATTTACGATTGTTTTATTATACCTCTTTTTTTCTTTTTTTCTTTTGAAATGTATTGGTTTGATGATGAGAAGTCTAAGAAGAAAAAATATCAACATAACACCATATCCTGGAAACTTCCGAACTCCTGAAGAAGAGGGAAAATAGGTAATAAAATATCAATCAAAACACCAGTATGCCCAAGCAACCAAACTCCGTATAAGCCGGATCAAAGAGAAGAGAAGAAAGAAACACCAATGCCCCCGGCAATGCATATACCTATTTCACTCCAAGAAATGTGCTTTCATGCTTTACCATCCTTTGATGAAGAACCAGAACTCCGTTTCGCAACTCCATCGTCCTTTACACAGTGTTTGACGATCCAGGGGTGTCGTTGGATTTCATCAAGCGTGATTCGCTTTTCAGGATCAAGCACGAGAAGCTAGAATGTGTTAGCTGATAAGTGTGTCATGAAAATAGGATTAATAGGGGAAGCACATACTCGCTTGATTAAATCCTTCGCCTCAGGGCTCACGAAGGAAGGAACATTCATATCCGCTCTTGCAATCCGCCTTTGTGTCATAACTGGGGTATCCTCAAACGGTGCCTCTCCGACAAGGAATTCATATGTCAACACACCCAAGCTCCATAGGTCAACCTTTTCGTTGTAGTAGTTGTCTTGAGAGCCTGGCTTAAGCATCTCCGGAGGCAGATAATCCAGCGTGCCACACATGGTTTGCCGCCTGTTGTTCGGCGCGTGGACACTCCAGCCGAAGTCGCTGATCTTGATTTCACCGTGAATTCCAACTAATATGTTTTCCGGCTTGATATCACGGTGCATAACATGCTTCTTGTGGAGATATTTGAGCGCTGCGGCCATCTGGGCAATGTAATGTGCAGCCTTCCATTCAGGAAAACGGTGTTCCTTTCGAAGGTGTTTGTACAATTCGCCTCGGCCTGCGAATTCCAGGATCAGGAAAATCCGCTTGCTATCGTGGAAGTGTCCATAGAGCCTCAGGACGTTCGGGTGACGAAGGTTGCTCTGGATCTCGATTTCACGCCTAACTTGTTTCTGTACCCCTCCTTGTTGCAATTCGGACTTGTGAAGGACCTTAAGTGCACAAACGAATCCGGAAGATCGCTCCTTGGCCAGATAGACTCGGCCAAATTTTCCCTTTCCCAAGGGCTTGCCAATCTCGAACATTCCAAGGTGAAGTTTCTTTGGCGAAGACTGCTCGTGGGACTGTTCTTCATTCTCATCGGCGTTGCGCTTGACAGGGGACGAATTTGTTGCATTGATCCTGTTATCATTGGTGTTTTGCAAAGCGAGCTTCAGTAGATTTGACCGGTTTGAGCTATTGTTCAGCTGCGCAGTGGACCCAAGGCCTGATAGGGACGTGGCTGTAGAATGGGAGCCCTGGACAGATAAGATTAGCTGGTTGGTCCTGCATGTCCAATTACATTCGCTCAATCAGTACCTTCTGCTTTGAATGATAACTGCCATTTCCGCTAGAATCGTTCTCATCTTTCACAGAAAGATGCTCAAAACGAGCTTCCAACGTCTTGGTAGCCATGGTTGCGGTGAGAAGTGCCAATGACTTTTGAAGGTCGTAAAGAGGCGATTGCGATGCTCAAGTGCTTCCTTCTTTACTAAATACTCATCCCAGAGCTTTAATAATTGTCGATAAACAAGGGGGATGAGAGATAGTGGTTTGGCGAGTTTGCGTGGTTGTGTCGAGAAGGTCGACTTGCGAGAAAGAACAGCTCCAGCGGCTGTTTATCGGCGCAGTTCCTTGCGCATCACCCAGGCAACGGAACGGGCCGCCTCTTTCTCCGACCTTCGCGGGGTATCGTTCGGGGAAGATGCTATTGATAAGAATCGGCCATTCATGACATGCACTGCGCATCGACAATTCAATTTACCAGTCCGTTGATCATTCAAGTACCAGATTGATCTTCTTCCGCGCTGTTTATCACCATTCAGTCGATGCGACATGGCTTTCAACATTCGTACGGGTCCTGCCCATACCATGCGCAGCCCGGCAGTGGTTTCTCCTAGTTCACAGAAGCCGGATTCGACCTCGATCAAGGGCTTTAGGATAAGCACGCAGAAATTGCCGATTCTGAAAGCCGAGCCTATCGAAGAGATGTCAAATACTCTCGGGATTGCGCCACCGGAAATGATTTTTGGGGATAACTTTGTCAAGATTGAGCACCAAAAAACGGGCTGGGGGATCACCTTCAATGCATTTGATGCGTTGGATCGCGTCGATAAGACTGGAGAATCGATGCTTAAAGTAGCATATTCAAAGGAATGGCAGAAAAGCAGGTGTGGGATTTATATTGTCGCGCATACAATTTCTCAACACTGACGGTTATTCCAGAGAAATAACACACGAAGGCATCAATGAAGTTGTCAAACCATTTGACTGGTCGTACACTACAGACTATAAGGGCACTGTTCATCCCAATAGTCGACAATTTGAAGAGACAACCAAACAAATCCCGATCGACTTATTAAAACGCCCAGATCCAATATTATTCTTTGATGAAGTGATCCTGTATGAGGATGAACTGGCTGATAATGGGATTACCATGCTATCATGCAAGATTCGCGTTATGCCAGACAGACTCCTTCTACTACTGAGATTTTTCATGAGGCTTGACAATGTTCTATTCCGACTTCGTGACACAAGGGTATACGTCGACTTCGAAAGCATGGAGGTGATTAGAGAATATCAATCCAAGGAATGTGAATATGATAAAGTCAGACAGGTAAGACGCATATTCGAATAGGGAAAGTGAAACGGTACATGAAGTGCACTGACACTTTGAAGACCCTGGCAACAACACGAGACGATGTTCCGGCCGCTTTGAGAGATGCAAACAAACTTTCGGATAAACTTCCTCTTGTTGAAAGGCACTTAGAGCGAGTGTCATTAAGGGAGTAGTGGCGCAACGTCTAGCTGCTGCTTAACCTTCCACCAAACCCAACGAAGTGATCCAATTGTAGCTGTTGGTGGAGTCTAAGAAGCCTGACGACAGAGACTCAGATGCAAAAAGGATAAAGGATCAGATGATCAAACCTATTCGGGCACCACATTCAAGGCTGACATGACCATCTTTATGAACAACAGGAAGCACTTGCTATGTCGTGTCATGAGAACAGTTGAGAGCATATATCATGAACGGCACAGTTCCAGCCTGGTTACGCAGATGATATGTAAAATACAATCACCATGTTTATATAAGTAAATACTACAGAGTACTTTTCCGAGCAGTACTACAGGGGTATGTACATAATTAAAGAGCGAAAAGAGACGGTCCAATGGGGGTGCATTCTTTTGAGATATTGACAAACACTGCAAACCAAGGCGGTGGTCGGCGTTGAGAAAATAATGAAATCATATCGGAGAGTACGGAGTACATCTGCGACACAATATTAAATTTGTACATTTCAAAAAAAAAAAGAAAAGAAAAGAAAAGAAAAGAAAAGAATGGCATCAAAGCCATTGGGCTCTCCCTATGTGCGAGGGCTATGCAAAGCTCAATTTTCATGGCTTCAGGTACACCAAGCAATTGATATATAACCCAACAGGCTTGATCTCTCAAACTGACTGTGGGTGCAGCCAACGCATATGGTTACTTCCCGAAACTACACCACACTAGTGTCGCATTCGAAGCACCCCTTAGATAATGCAAACCGGTGGTGTCACTCTCACAGATCCTTGATACAAAGCCGTCGAGCCTCTCGATTGGCGAAAGCCATACTGCCCCGACCTGGCACCACAGCAGAAACCTATGTCGCATATGGATTGACACAGAAGCTGTTCGAGGCTTGCTCGCGCCAGGCCGACTACAGAATACCCCAAGTGTCGCAAAAAGGTGCACAGGCTCCAAAGACTAAAGAGGGTGAAGATCTTGGCGTTGGGGAAGGTTGGTGGTATGAAGGTTGGTCCTAGCATTTGCTTTTCAACATGGGGAGTATCAGTATGAGATGTCGAACCGTGAACCCGTTTTTGAAGATGTTCCATGAGCTAATATGGGTGGCCTCGTCCCAATTAGAACTGAGTCTCGCCCCAACTTTCTCTACATGGTCGCAAGTAACTTTTCTGCACATGTATCTATTGACGGTTCGACTGCGCGCACTACCATCTCATGAAAGTGTCCAGACATATTCCCGTCATCTGATCGATCACTTCTCGCACAACGCCGAACAGCGCATGGATGTCCTCCATGGCATCACCAGCCGGGCAATTCGGAATAAATTCCTCAAGGACCTTTTTATTCAGTGGCGGGGTGTTCTTGCGGCCTATGACGAGGGACTTGTCAAGGGCGATGCGGTGCTTGGGGCTGCTGTCTGGAGGAACCTGTGGAAAGCGAGTTATACTGGGTCGGACGGTAAAGACATGGATTGGACCAAGATTGCTTGGGTCGTGGTCTATATGCGGCGAGTGCTGTCGGAACTCTCCCAGGTAAGTGAGGGCGATCTAATCTTGACCCTGGAACGCAGGAGCGGCGGGAAGCCTGGCATATTTGGATACTCCGAGTTGGATAAGAAGTTGGCAGATGTAAAGCGATAAATTGCAAAGCCAGCAAGTGCCATAATCTGCTAAACAAAAAGGTGTACGGTTACACACTACATTCAGTCAGCTGTTTTATTAATCATTTCATTCAACCATTATTCAGTATCCCGTACAATCTCAAATCGTGTAGTTTGATTTACAAGGAATGGACTGGGACTATTAGTTGATGAATTTAAACAAGTTTCCGCTCCATCGTACTACTATGTAATCTTTCTATACCTAATTTTCTTTCTTACCAAACAGGTCCTTCTCGACCATAGCACGGCAAATGGGATGATAGAAGTCTCTGTTCTTCTCAAAAGTCTCTATAGCAAGCGTGCGATTGACCTTTTGGAGATTTCGGTATCTATAAAGTAAGATTAGTTGGTAAATCTCCCTCTGCGTAGATGGTCTCTGGTCTATAATGTCCTTACAAGGGTCGCACAAATTTCATTCGCCCAATTCTGCTTAGCAGGCTTGCTGTTGGCTCCAAAACGCTTTTATCCCCGGCCTTTAGCCCGACCTGGAAATATAAGTTGGCAACCTCGATGTTTTCGCTCTTGGATAGACCGTAGACTTCGCCCATAAGTTTCGTCAGGTCGGGTTTAAGCTGCTCGAAAAGGAGCACCTGCTCCAAGAAAACTATAAGTTGATTTGCTGTCAAGCCGTGTATGTCGCTTGCCTGTGGCTTGAAGGAGGATTCAGGCAGTGATTGCCATTTCCTAGCAAGCTCATAAACAACATCGACAAGAGATGTATCAAAATGGGGCTTGGGAGGCAAGCCCGGCGCATAAAACCATTTGTCCCAGTCAAGATCATTCAATAACTTGGAAGCCTCGGGGTCAGACTGGAAGAAATCCAAGATTGTTGTCTTGAATTCATAAGAATCGAGAGATTTTTCTTTAAACACTGTAAAGTACTGGGAAGCAAATTAGCAAATCGTACTGGAAAGGGAGGGGAAAGAGAACCGGCATACATGGGGGATAAACTCGTCAAATTTGGCTTTTCCGAGAAGGGTCTCGAGTTGAAAGAGAAAATTAAAGCCCTTTTCGTATGGGATGCTTGAAAATGCATCGTCTGGGTCTTTTCCTTTCAGGTCAATGACCAACTTGGTAAATTCATGGTCCTGTCCAAAGTGCTCCACGGAATCCGAAAGAGCCTTCCAACCTATGATGGCCGAGAAATGACGATAGGGCTCCCCATGGCTAGCAGGAGTCAGCAAGAGTTAGTTACCTTGACAATTTTCAACTATTTCCAACTACTCACACTGCACCTAGGATCTTGATTTTGTCAGCAGGTTACTTGGTAAAAAGCAAATGGGTAACGTTAACCTACCCTTCTTTCAAGGTAAGTAGTCCAACCTTCATTGAGCCAAAAATGTTCCCATGAAGCGTTGGTGACGAGATTGCCACTCCAGCTATGAGCAAGTTCATGAGCGATTACATCCACATTCTCCCGATCCTAGGAGATGAGATGAGAGAGAATGTTATTCAATTGCCAGATGAGGTCTTAGAGCATTCTGGGGTACCTTTGAAATGATGCTAGGGGTGGCGAATGTAAAGATCGGATTTTCCATGCCACCATATGGGAAACTTGGAGGCAGAATCAACACATTATACTCGCCCCATGCATAATTGTAGACGATTTTCTGTATTCGGGTGAGCAAGTGGTCGCTCAAATGGGAGGATCTGTCAGACATACCTCAATTGCATTGATAAACTTCTCTGTGTCCGCTTCAAGCTCCCACTTACACTCTTCGACCTTGTCAGGGCTTGTTGCTACCACACTCCGAGGTCCAATGGTGGCTTCCGAGATGTCTCTGTTCAAGAATCAGTATTAGCTTCTGTGAGAACAGGCATGTATGAGGCATGTATGTGATCTACTTACCCACTAGCCAATGCAAAGAGATAACTAGGAATTGGCACTGTCTGGTGGAAGCGATACAGAGACTTTCCATCCGGCTGCAGTGCCGGTGGTAAATCACGAACCGGCAAGCCACTCGCGATCACCGGATGCGGAGATGTAATGTTGAAATCCAGAGTGGATTTGACATCGGGTGTATCTTGACACGGAAAAATAGAGCGAGCATGAATAGCCTGGCATTGAGAGACTTGAAGCATACATCTATCATCAGTGGGGTTTTATTCTTCCCAGACACAGGGAAAATGTCAGCTTACACATATAAGGGTACTTTTTGTTTGAGGTCTGGGCAGGCGTCAACCATTGCAATGCTGTACATTTCTCCGTGGTCTTCACTGAGATCTTTATTGTACAAGTTAATGTTGAAAAGCGAACATAATGACGATTCGGAATAAATGACGTACATCGACCTCGATAGTCTCGTTGAGCTTCACAGCATGACCAAGCTTGATCTTCAACGCCGTGCCGTAAGATTCCAAAGGCGGGAGTAGTTCCCACTGAGATTGCTTGCCATCGACCTTGACATCGCCAATGTCGAGATGGTTGACGTCAAGGATAATATCCTGGGATTGGGCATCTGTAATTGATTTGAGCTGGTGAACCACATTTCCAGCCAACTTCTTCTGGTCAAAGAGTATGTCAAAATTTGCAGTGATGTGAGTCGAGATCCAGTTATTATAATTGCTGAGAGTATTCGGATCCCGGGGAGAGTTGATAATCGTCGCCATACTTCGTCTTTGGCTTCGAGGAGCAGTCCAGCGAATTTGAACAGCGATGGACGGATTAATGGACGGTACACTTGCGCGAATCGAGCCTCGAAAAGAGAAGCTGACCCGTGGAAGATGGGACAAAGGTGAAGGTATCATATATGAATATGTGCCTCTTTTAGCCGGCAGAGCCTACAGAGTACGAATGTGTAATTGACCTGGGGAATCACGCGTATCTCCATTACATGTAATATACCGTATCATGGGGTATTTATGCTTAGAGATCACCTTTCAGCAGCAATTGATTTCTGAACATGTTGTATACATGGCTACTGACAAAATTACTTAATGAGTCTTAGTGATCAAATTATTTGGGTTCTTGACTGGAACTTTGCCAAACGAAGGCCGAGTGGGAGAATACCGTAATATATAGCATAAAGCATCCGCATGACAGCGATCCACCGACTGCTTCGGCGGATCTATTTGTTTATTCCCGCTTGCTCTTTCACATGATTTAGCTAAGTATTTTGCGAAACATTACCTTCTACTTGTACTTTATTTGAACTGTCCTCTTCTAACGCATAAAAAGTGAAGGCAAGGTTGAAGGACGCCAATCCATAACTCGATTTCCTCTTCGGTCATCGCGAATCTAATTCCTTCTCGCGAAACATTCCTACAACTCCTATCGACTTCAACTTGCGCAATGGATGCTTCTCAATTGCAGTTATCTGCTGAAACCACTCAGGGCCCCGAAAGCGCACAAAACGCGCAGGATACTCTGAACACCCAAACCATCCAGAACCCCCCACAGAATGTCGACGAACCCCAGGTCCAGGGCCAGAGCCAAGAGGTAGAGGTGGGGGTGGAAATGGACAACACACGCGATTTCGCAGCGAATGGTGGCCGGATGGACACGGCGCAAGACCTCAATGCACCCACTGCATCAGATGCGCAGCCTACAGATGCGCCAACGGCATCGAAAAAGAACTCGGGCCTCGGATTTCTCAAGTAAGGATGTGCAAGCTCTTTTGTATTCCTGCTGCTGAAATTTTCTGTCCATGTTTCGTCAATCGCGCCTTCATAACCACGGTATCGCATTCTGCTCATAGAACAAATCCGCTTACTTATAACAGCTACCTAACATCGCCAATTGTCGAAATCATTGTTGGCCAGGGAGAAAATGAAACCACGTTGACAGCTCACCAAACTCTGCTACTAGAGTCGCCTTTTCTTGCAGAGACGGTTAACAAATTCAGCGAAACTGAACCGGCATGTTTTGTAATCCTTCGCTGAGACATTAGAACCCTGTTGACACTGATGTGTTCATTTCGCAGCGGCGTATTGAACTCCCTGATGAGCACGTGGGCGCTTTTGGGTGTTTTCTGCAATTCCAATATACGCGCGACTATACTTCGAGACCGACTGAGGGACAAGATGCAAAGGACTCCGATGACAGCGGGGAACAATTATTGAAGCATGCGCGAGTTTACACCTTAGCAGAGAAGCTTGGGATACCGGCATTGAAGGTACTCGCTCACACCAAGATTCACCGTGTCAATAGTACCCCCCGCGGTGAAATTGAATATGCCCGCTATGTCTACACGCACACTTCTGTGGATGATGTCACGCTCCGCAAACCTATCGCCAATTTCTGGGCCACCAGAAGCCATGTTTTGCGACATGGCGTGGAAGGAGAATTCAAGAGGCTGTGTCTTAATGTACCCGAGTTCTCTTATGACGTTCTCGCGCTCGTACTCGAGAACAAAGAAAAACGTGGTCAAGACAATAATAAGACTGAATCTGAATCAGGAACCCGTACAAGCGGAAGGAAGCGACAAAGGGGTGGTCAGTAGCTGACTGAACGAAACATAGTCATTTTTGCACTACTGGAAAGGCATTTTTTATATTAAACGGGGTCTACTGTTATTAGTGTATCCTCTCGTTCTTTGGACCAAACACCTGGGACCTCAGGTGGGGTTTGAATTGGTCTGTAAGTAGTAATCAACCTTTTCCCACGGATAATTAGGCTATAGATGTAACTACTTAGCACCATGAACGTCTAAATTTGTACTAAGGGCTGAAAATTAAATCATGCAACATGTTGGATATCGACTGGGTTATAATCGTTAGTATACCATTTTACAAAGCCAACTTTTCCACTTCCTCGATAGCTTTTGGTGCCGTGGTCAGATTCTCGTAACCGTCTCTGGTGATGTGAACATTATCTTCGATGCGTACTCCACCGACCCTCCAATAGCGTTCCAATACCTCGGTATCGATATACTGTTTGAGTTCAGGAGAGTGGATGAAAGGTTCGATGATAAATCGGCAGAAATAAATCTGTTCGGATGAATTGTTAACGATGATATTGAAAAGCAAGAAAGTGAATGATCCGACTTACCCCCGGTTCAACAGTGATAACAGACCCCGCAGGCAAATTGCCTCTCACACGAAGATACCTAAACATGGAGTCTTTATCATCGTAATTGGGGTTTCCGCCCGTGTCGTGAGTGTCCATTCCAAGATAATGCCCGAGGCCATGCGGGAAGAATGCCACGCTAACTCGTTTTTCGAACAATTCATCCTCGGACCCTCGAAGAATACCCAGCTTTAGCAGGCCTTTTATCGCAATGCGGTGTGCCAGTGCATGAACGTCTTCCCACTGGACGCCATCCTTCAGTTCTGCGATACATTCAGATTGCATTTGCAAAACAATCTCATATATCCGGCGTGTCTCAGGCGCGAATTTTCCTGACAAAGGGAAGACGCGGGTAATATCAGCACAGTATGCGCGGTACTCGCCGCCAGCATCGATGAGTACATTGTTCTTCCGTTGCTTGGTGACGGGGTCCACAAGGTCGTCGTTATTCTTTTGGTAGTGAAGGGTAGCACCGTTCTCGCCACATGCAACAATGGGGTGATAGGACTGCTCAGTACAGTCATTGGCGATGCACGTTGCAATAAAAGCGCCATAGATCTCAAGCTCGTTGGTTGCTGTCTTCGACGCTTCGATGGCAGCGACATGAGCCTTGGCAGAAATATCATTCGCTTTCTTCAAGAGAGCAATTTCATATCCATCCTTGATGATGCGAGTGAGCTCAATCGCGGCCTTCAGCGCGGACAAATTCGTCTCAGCAAAGTTTTGGAACTTTATATCGTCCGATATCTGGTCTGCAATCGCAAATGCAACCGCCTTGCCATTGTGAGCCGAGGCAATTGAGGCAAGAGTAGTATTGACCTCAGTCGTCGAGAGTACACGGTCAACATCATACTGCTTCTGTGCCTGGGCAGGAGACAGCGGGAGGCCAGACCAGATTACCTCATCGGGATCAATGGGAGGGATGTATAAAGTCAATTTGTCGGATTTGATGTCGTATGTCAAGCGTGAGTCCGGCAACAAGCACCCGGACAGGTAGTAGAAGAAACGACGTTGTCTGGGATCACAAGGTCAGAATCCACTATACATTAACATGGCGTATAGGAAGATCGGAGTCACCTGAATGGCATTGCTTCATCGTTGTCTTCAATAAGGCGAGTCTTTTGCGCTTCCAAGTAGATGACACCAGAACCACCATAACCTCGTTCTTGAAGGTACCCTGCGACTCTGCGCGCATGAGCTTTGGCAGGGTATTTGCCTGCCAGAATAGCGTCCAGCGATGACATTTTCGAAACCACTTGAGACCCTGGATATGTCTTGAGATGGATAGTATGTCGGGTGAAGTTTGGCAATCGCGGGGTTCGAGTGCGGGGCGCTGCGAGTGACGTGCAGAGCGCCCCGGCTACTGCCGGGGGAGAGATGATCCTCCTATGACGGAGACCCAGCACATTGCAAATATGCAAATAGGAATACATAATTAAGAAAAAACAATAATATTTACTGTCCAAAAGGAAAAGGGAGACAGGGAATTGTTCGTCTATCTAAATGGACTGCCCTGGCTGCCCGCGGTGCTAGTTACATCCTCAAATTCCATCTGCCAATCATCAACTTCAGCAAACTTCTTTGCCTGTAATCTTAGTTCCTCGCTCATTAAATCTCCTTTATCGGTGGATTTTGAGATGGAAACATCTGAGTCGAATGCATCTGAATCAAGAGCTGACGAGAGAGGCGACGACATTCCATCTGGTTGATTTTCCTTGTCAACATCTGTCGCTCGAGTGGCCGAAGGGTATATAATCCCTCCTTTAGAAGGTTTAGACTGTGGCTTTTTTTGTTTTGTAGGCTTAGTTCGCGTATTTTTCGATGGATCCGGCGGGTCTGTTTGCTTCCGTCGCGAGTTCATTGGTTTTCTAGAAGGCAAGTAATTCAATTCATCGTCGTCGTCGGATCTGTCGTCATCGTTGGATATATTAGAATCATTGTGCCTGCGACGTCGTTGGCGCCGCCGAGGAAGCAGTTTACTTTGAAGAGCCGCTGTGGAGAGGTACCCTTGCGCATTCATTCGCCCACTCGGTTCCTTTGTGCTCTCTAACGTTACAGGTGACGCTCGTTCTGCCAAGGCCAAATCAATACGTGCAGGACTTTGGGGTGCGCTGCTGCTCATAGGCGGCACCATTGTCTGACTGAATGCTTCGGGGGATATCAGGGGCCGAGGCGTATCGGTGCGGTCGTGTGCTTCATTTTCTTGGGTCCCACGAGCTGGAGAGCCGATAGGCGTGCTCTCTACTACATTCAAGGGTGATTGGGGAACTTGGAGTTCCCCTGTCGCTCGTTTCCGCTTGCGCGGTTTGTCGCTAGATGGAGATGAAGATTCCGCAGATGGAGACGCGGCATTCTTTAGTATCAACGATTTCCCACGAGAAACATTCAAAGGAGTAGATTCGTCTTCTGGACTCAATCCACCAAGAAAATCATCGTCATCAAGGTCAGAGGAACCATCCTCTGTTTGCATCATCTGAAGAATACTAGGCTGTCGAGCTCTCCTTCTGAAATTGCTCAGGACCGAACTTTCGAAAGCGGGCGTCCCTGGAATCTTTGAGCTCATATCACCCTTTCGCCCTGCGAGGGAAAGAGTTGATGAGTAACCACGGGCTCTCGTGGGAGGTCGACTGCCTGTCGCTGCGCGTTCGCCCATCGGCGATGATTCGATTGCTTGTTCATGCGATTTGGACATAGGGGTCCGGTTATTCATTTGTTGCACCATAGTTAGCGCCTCGGCGCCATCGGTCGGATGCGAGGCGCTGTCCACATTTTCGCCGTGATTTGAGGGCAATCCCGAAGCAATTGCAGACTCGAGGTTATCGTCGCCGGCCGATTTATGATTTGCGGTCTGTTTCGTGGAGGTTTGCGGGGCCTTGCGATTTCGTCTAACTGCTGGTCGTGGCATTGTTGTGGACGAGTTCTTTCAGAAGGATGTTTAGGAAAAGGTCTGGTTATATTGATGGGCCTTGTAAAATAAATCACTGGGCGTTCGGGGATCCAAACAACAAAGTAACCAGGTCACAACCAGTGACCAAAGTGACACCAAGACAGGTATTATCCGAGGCGAAACTGAGTTGACTGTACTCTGTACGATATGGTCTGATGTACGGAGTATGGAGTACGGAGTATTCCTTTACTCTTCGTTTGGGCGACGCGTTTGTTTTGGTGGCGGCGACGCGTGCCGCGGCCTCTACACGGGCCAATCCAGCGTAGCGTTGAACCATAGTAAGGACAAAATGGACAACGTCATTTGCCCTAAAAGGAGATTACCTACAGGGGTACATATGTATTATGTATTTTGAGATGAATTGACTCAACTCATCCAGAGTGAATGTTCTAGGCTGTACATGTTGGGCTACCTTTTGGTAAAATAACCGACATATGTTGCTGGTGATTTCTGATCACCGGTTGAAATCCTGCGTTAATTAGCCTCGCAAGTTGCAAACGGGCAGTAATCCGCCCAGGAAACCGAAAGGTTTGTTCCAATTGACAGCTCCCTACAAGCAAGAGCGAATTGGATGGTGGCGGCCGTTGGGTAAGGCCTACATGGATATTTGCACGTATGGATATTTGCACGTATGGATATTTGCACGTTGAAAAAGTCTAGACTATGTACAGCTCAAGAAAGATAGTAATTAATTAATAAAAGAGGATACAGAAAGAAATAAAAAGGCACAATCTTGAAACAACAGACATAAGCATTTCTGTACATGATGAAATATCAGTATAGGGCATGACTCTCATCAACTCCACGAAGTTATATAAAGAAAAAATTGGTATCTCAAAATCCCCAGAATATTAGAGAAAACAGGTTAGGAAAACGAAAACGAGAAGAAAAAGATGCGAGAAAAAGAAGAGGAAAGAAAGCGATTCAAAGAAAAGGATAAACAAGGGAAAGAAAGCCATTAGCATCAACAACCATTCAGGTGAGGACCCATTCGCTGCCACGCTTGATAAATTTATCAAGCATCAATCCAACATCATTCAAAACAAACCGACAAATGTAAAAGCCAAAAAACTCTGCAGCATGCCGCGTGCTCAACTCCAAGCCAACAAGGGTTGGCGAGGAATGTTTGAGACCTGGATCTTCCACCTGCTGGGCGATTTGATCTAAAGAAAGAAGTCCGCAAGTCAGTCTCATGAGCAGTCTTGATCATGAACACATGTGCTCACCTATAGCTTGAGCAGCGTCGCAAAGCCGTGCCAGGGCGCCCATGTAATTGGCATTGGGTCCATTGAACTGTAATTGCGTTACATTGCGCTTGGCGGTTTGTGTGCTCGGTGTGGGTGTCATAGGAAGAGTATTGATTGTCGGGTTGTCTTTGCCGATTTCCTTTGAATTAGGCGGTGCCGCGGAACCAAATCCCGAGTTTTTGGACCGCAGTTTACGCCATGAAGTCAAATAGGATTTCGTACTGGGCCCGTTTGAAGCCTTGGATGGTAACGTGTCCGCAGTACCCATCGCATCATCTGAGGTTGGTGACATCTTAAACAACGGCATAGCACCTTGCACACCAACTTCGCTACCTAATTTCTTTGACAGGGCGGTCTGTACCTGGTCAAGAACGCTCTCGAAGGATTGCATTTCCTCCAAAACAGCATCAGCATCGTACATGTCGACCTGCGATAATTTGAGAAGCGCTGCCGTCAGCAAATCACAGCTGGACACCTTTTCTTCCAACGCCTTAATTTTTGCATTCTTGACTCGCCAGACATCACGTGGAA